TGATGTTCAAAAAAAAAAATCAGTCAAGTGTGGGAACTCTCCTCCTGTTTGTCTTAGGAACGGCTGGATGTGCACATGCATGCTTGCAGTGTAAATAAAGTGAGGGAGGACCAGGGGCTGGTCACAGAAGAAATGTGCAGTTACCCAGGAGCTGGCGACACTGGGGACCTGGGAAGGAGATGAGCAGACAGGGATGAGGGAGACGAGTCTTCACTGTGTGCTGTTTGTATGTTGGTCTGTTTGCTTGTGAGAGTAAGATTCCGTCTACTGGTTCACTCGCTGTGTGCCTGCCACCCAAGCTCGGGAGTCAGATACTCGATCCAGGTCTCCCGTGTGGGTGACGGGGACCCAGCCCCAAGAAGACCTTGCTGCTACTTCGCAGGCTCTGCATTAGCAGGAAGCCAAAATCACAAGTGGAACCAGGTCATCCGCATAAGCACTCAGATGTGGATGCAGGAGTTTAACCAGCATCTTAACCAGGAGGCCAAACACCCACCCTTCCACAGGCTTTTTATACTCCTCTCTACCTTTTAAGTTTTGTACCATATGCATCTGTTACATAATGAAGTAAAAATATAATACTTCCTCTTTAACACAATTCTGGATCTGTTGAATACTACCTAAGTGATCCTGGGCCACAGCCTCAGTTTCCTCACCTGTGAAACCCAGATGAACTCACAGAATTAGACGTTAAGCAGGTGACATTTGGAAACCACTTGTTGTAATGCCTACCTCCCAGCAATCAATAATTGTTGCTGCTAGTAATATTATCTGGGATTGGCACTGTAGTACCTCCGAATAAGCTGCCACATGCAGCATTTCAGTGGGCACTGGTGCAAGTTCCAGATGCTCCACTTCTGAGCCAGTTGCCCTCCAATGCACATGGGAAAATAACAGAAAATAGCCCAAGTTCCTGGGCACCTGCAGCCACATGCAGAGACCTGAATGGAGCTCCTGGCTCATGGCTTCAGTCTGGTGCAGCCATGGTTATTGTGACCATCTGCAGAGTGAACCAACAGGTGGAAGATCTCTGATTCTCTTCCTCTCTGTGTAACAACTTTCAAATAAATAAATAAGTAAACTTTTAATTAGCAATTATCTGTGTGGCCTGGGTTTTGTAGGGTTGTGAAAATGAACTCAAATAGTGCTGATCTTACCTTTTAGTGTAGTGCTTGATGCCCAGCCTCAATGTGTGTTTAGTGCAGTGCAAATTTACGAGTATGAGTGTGTGTACTTTTACTGGGGTTAGGAGGGTGGTGCTCTACACAGTTTGTGCAGCCTTGCTGTTCATACACTTGAAGCCTTGCCCCTGGAGCTAGAAGGATCAGGAAGACTTGTCTGCTGTGATGCTGAGGGTCCCACAGTGTCCTTTGGGTGGGAGATGAGCACTAGCCTTTCAGAGCAGCTAGGCTGTCTCGCATCCGTAGAGTCTTGCCATCATGAGGTGTGCTTGGGAGCTGGCAGACCTGTGCCACGGCTGGCCCTGAGCTCCTGGCTAAGCTGCTTCAGCTGCCGGAGCCCTCCTCCCTGCAGGATTCCCTTGGGGATTAGAAGTGATTGAAAGTGACAAATCCTGGGCCTAGAGGCTCTACACACCCCTTTAGCAATCCCCAGTGCTCTGAATCCAGAGGCGTCTGTGGTGACGTGTGCCTGACATCCCCTGGAGACAAAAGAAAATGCCAGAATTGTGCTTCTATTTCTTTTTAATCTCACTACTTTATGGTGGTATGGTTTTGATTTTCTTTTTCTTTTCTTTTTTTGATATATATTTTTAAATGTATCGTGACACTTTCATGGAATTAGTAATACATGCAAGTTTGTAACTTGAGGATCAGTGTCCAGTGTTATATTTTAGATAGAATTTCCCCCCAGTGGCCAATTGTGTGACATAAATTACTTTCTCCTACAGAACAAATGGATGAGATTTAACTTTGAACGTCACTCTTAACTAATTACTTTCCAGCTGTATTTATTTAATGAAAGGCAGTCAGAGAGGAGGCGAGACCTAGAGAGGGGACTTCTATCTGTTGGTTCACTCCCCAAATGCCTGCAATAGGCCAGGCTACCCCACACCAAAACCAGAAACTCCATCCAGATCTCCCGAATGACAGCGCCCCAAGGCCTTGGGCCATCTTCTGCTCTTTTCCAGGTGCTTTAACAGAGAGCTGAATCACAATGCCCGTCCCTCCCTCTGGTCTGAATTGAATGCTGCCCATAGGTTGTCCTAGGATCACTCTCACAGGATGACTTGCGGCCAGATTGTGGTATCGAGAGTTAAGCTGCATCCCATGTAGCTCCAATTCAAGTCCTGGCCACTGCACATCGGATCCACTTCCCTACTAACGGCCTGGGAGAAGCAGCAGAAAATGTCCCAAGTACTTGGGCTCCTGCCACCCCTGAAGCAGTCGCAGAAGAGGCTCCTGGCTTTGGGTTGCCCAAGCCCCAGCCGCAGCCATTGCAGCCATCTGGAGAGTGAGTCATTGGGTGGAAGAGCACTCCCTTCCTCCTTCTCTTTGTGAACTCTGACATGGTGTTTTACAAAGCTTGCCAGAGACTCTGGAAGAGCAGCACAGTGACTGTCATGTGTAACTGCTGTGCTGCATGTGTAACATTGTCATACTCAAGTTTGTTTTACCCAGGAAAAGATTTAAGCTTTAGTAGGACAGAAAGACACTTTAAAAATGAAATCTGCCAGGCTCAGCACAATAGCCTAGTGGCTAAAGCCCGCTTTGCATGTGCCAGGATCACAGTGAGTGCAGGTTCTAATCCCAGCTGCTCCACTTCCCATCCAGCTCCCTGCTTGTGGCCTGGGAAAGCAGTCGAGGACGGCCCAAAGCCTTGGGACCCTGCACCTGCGTGGGAGACCTGGAAGAAGCTCTTGACTCCTGGCTTTGGATTGGATGTACTCTGGCCATTGTGGCCATTTGCAGAGTGACCCAGCAGATGAAAGATCTTTGTCTCTGTCTCTCCTTCTCTCTGTAACTACCTTTCCAATAAAGATAAATTTTAAAAGAAAGAAAGGAAACCTATTACTATGGAAGGAAGTTTCACTTGTGAAGTAATCAGAAATGATCACAGAATATACATTGAAGCCAAATTAAAATTAAATGAGTTTTTAATTTATTTGTTTTTCAGCTGGGAGTTGGGGGACTTCCTCCAGGCCTCCCATGTGGGTGGCAGAGAGCCAAACACTTGAGCCATCCTTTGCTGCTTTCCCAGGCTCGTTAGCAGGGAGCTGGATTGGAAGTGGAGCAGCCGGGACTCAGAGCAGTGCTATATGGGATGCCGATGTCGCAAGCAGTGGTTTTACCCACTGCACTGCGGCGCTGGCTCTCAGTGGGTACTCTTACAGTGGCATAGGTCAACAGATTTGTTTCAAGCCCCATTAAGAGCAAACAGTCAGAGGACTGTCAGTGCGGGAAGGGTTAAAAATTGAAATACAAGTTCAGCCATGGGCCTTAGGAAATTGAACTTATGTGCTTTTAGGCCATTCGTGTATCTTCTTTTGAGAAAAATCGAGTCAAGTTGTAGCATTTTTGTGGAGCTGTTGAAAGAATAAGGCTTCTGGGGCTGGCATTGTGGTGAAATAAGCTAAGTCTCTGCTTATGGCACCAGCATCCTGCATGGGTGCCAGATGCTCCACTTCCCATCTTGATCCCTGCCCATGGCCTGGAGAAAATAGCAGAGGATGGCTCAGCCCCTTGGGCCCTTTCACCCATGTGGGAGACCCAGAAGAAGCTCCTGGCTCCTGGTTTTGGATTGGCTCATCACAAACACTTGCGGAGTGAACCAGCATTTGGAAACTCTCTCATCCACCCATCCCCTCCCCACCTCCTTTCTCTGTCTCCCCTCTGTAACTCTGCCCTTCAAGCCAGGTCTTGTAGTCCTTGGAGTGTGCTGTGGTGTGCTGGTGCTGGCTGGCTTTGGGTTGTCCTCAGAAGGTGTGCCATTCTGCTTGAGGGTTTGTGCTAGCACAGGCTCCGAGCTATTGAGAGGCCCGGGCAGTTGGCTTTGTGAATCTGGGGCTTGATAGAGCCCTCAGAGGGTACCCCAAGGCGTTGCTCCCAAGGTTCTGGGCAGTGGATCTGTCACAAGAGAGCAGTGCCTGGATGGGAAATGGAGCAGCTAGTATACACACTGGCACCGATGTGGGATGCTGGTATCATTTCTGGGTAACCAGGCCTGAGCCAAGAGGGTCTGTTTTCTTCCAGGAATTCCAAACAACTTTTACTTCAGGTTATTCTCAGCATTTGTGTTTTGTCTTTAACTAAACATTTAATGTAGAGCTGCCATCTGAGGCTGAGAACAAAATTTTGGATTCTTTTTGAAAATGGTGCCTACAGACTTAGCTTGTAAACTTCCTGCCGTTCCACATGGAAGATGGGTAGAAGTTGTAAGAATGACAGGTGTTAGATCTTCCATGCCAAGGCTGGGCAATTTGGCACAGTGACTAGGACAAGACATCCTTTATTGGAGTACCAGGGTTAAAGCCCCAGTCCCACTTCCAATTTGAACTCAGTGCAGGTAGTGCTGATGGCTCCAGTGGTCTCTGCCACCCACGTAGGAGACCCCAGTGCAGTGTCCAGCCCTGACTGGTAGGGACATGAAGAAGAGTAAATCAACTGATGAAAGATGACTCTGTCCCTCTCTCTGCCTTTATCACTCTGATTTTGAAATAAATATTTTAAGTTAAAAAAAGAGTATCTCTTCCATGCCAGACCAAGGTCCTTTGGAGTTGCCTATTAGTGCTTTTTCTCCCTGCCCTTAGAATTTTGTTGACTTCATTATAGTGTGTTTGTCTGAGATGCACATGAGAAACACATGTGGCTGATAAAACTTCATACTCATTTTAATTCTTGTATTTTTAGACAGAGCTTGTAAAACTTTGTGAAAACCGGCTGGAGACGTAGTGGATGATATTTAGCGTCTCTAGAAAAATAAGCCTGTGCTTTGTTTTCTATATCTTAAGTTTATGTTAAACTTCATGTTTTCTCTTCTAGGTATTCTTATGGGAGCAGTTATAAAAATTATAGAGTTTAAAAAGCTGGCAAATTGGAAGGTAGGTCTGTTCAGCTGCATTTTTGGTGTAATTGTAAGTTTTGGTTGTCTATGCTGATGATTATGCTGGCTTTCTTAACATTTCTTGAGTGTCACTGAAACTATTTCTATTGTCCCATTGATGTTGTCTTAAGATTTAGTAAAAGCATGAATATCATACTTAATGTTGTTTTATTGTTGTTTGCATTTTTATAATCTTTATTCACTTGATAGAAAAGGCAAACTAGCAGTAAAGATTAAGCAGTGTTTACTGCTCCCAATTCCATTCAGACAGGTTAAGATAACACCTGTTTGTCTGTGCTGAGGAGCTAAAGCACTTGAGACATTTTAGCTGATCCTGTCTTCCAGACAACCTGGGGAGGTAGATCCGCCAGGTAGATCCACTGCATCTTTCCAGATGAAGGAAGTGACATGGCCAGTGTCCCCAAGCTAGAGAGCAAGCACTGGGGTTTCACCCCTGGCCCTGCATGGTTTTTCCCAGCGTCAGTTGCTAATGGAAAGACCACTGTAGGTTTTTTTTTTTTCCTAAAGATTAATTTGTTTTTATTGGAAAGTCAGATATACAGACAGAAGGAGAGACAGAGAGGAAGATCTTCCATCCGCTGGTTCACTCTCTAAGACTAGACATACTGCCTGGGTAGTTATTACCCACTCATCTGTTGGATTTGATTTCAAGTCGCTTGATCAAAATGTGATGCAAAAGCAATTCAAATTTTTAATTTGCTTTTAAGATATTATTATTTAAAAGATTTTTTTAATTTTTATTGAAAAGTCAGATATACAGAGAGAGAAGAGACCGAGAGAAAGATCTTGAATCTGTTGATTCATTCCCCAAGCGGCCGCAACAGCTGGAGCTGTGCCAATTCGGAGCCAGGAGTCTCCCATACAGGTGCAGGATCCCAAGGCTTTGGGCCATACTCTGCTGCTTTCCCAGGCCACAAGCAGGGAGCTGGATGGGAAGCGGGGCAGCCAGGATTAGAACTGGTGCCCGTATGGGATCCTGGCACGCGCAAAGCGAGGATTTTAACCACTAGACTGCTGCGCCAGGCCCAGATATTATCACCCTGTATAAAATTCTGTCAGTTTCACATAGAAATATGAACTTGTTGCTTTTCTGGAGAAAGCAGAAGCTGTCTTAACATCAGGCCTGTTAGTGATCTGCAGTCCCGCACGTTGGCTGGCTTCCTGCATCTGGCTGTGTGGTAGGGAAGCCTGGCATTGGTGACCTCATGCTGAGCAATCAGAGCTGATGGAGATTGGCTCTCACCTCCGGTCCAATGTGCTTCAGTGTCACTGATTCCCTACCCACTACCCGCTGCAGTGTTCTCTTTCAAAATGAAGTGGGTGATGCTGTGATTAAGTGCTGAAAGAGTTGTTCAGGCAGCCAGCTCCTGACCTGCGGAAAAGACGAACTGTCTAGGCCATGCTGGCCAGTGACCTCCTGGAGGAGCTGACACCAGTGGGAAACAGGACACCTTCCTGGCAGCTGGTGTGCAGGGAGCAGCAGAAGACAGGAGAGCCATGAAGGAGCCTGGCATCGTCCCACGAAGCTCTGCCTGCAGGTTGCCCTGCTGGGTCTGCCTTCTGCCTTCACTGTCTGTGTGCAATGCATTTCTTCATAGGAATTTTTAAATTTGTGTACATTTTAGCAGTTTGTTTTTAGGATTTTATGTCTCTGAGAGACAACGAGGCTACGAGAGAACTTTGATCTGCTGTTCCACTTCCCAGATGCTCACAAAAGCCCAGAGTTGGTACAGGGACCCAGCTGCTGGACCCATTGCCTGTGCATTAGCAGGACGCTGGAATTAGGTGTGGAACTGGGACTGAGTCCTCCAGGCCGAGTTGTAGGTTTCCCTGTCCAAGATCCTAACGGCTAGCTGCCCCTATTTTTTATTATGGGAAAATACACATAATATAAAATTCCCCAGTTGAGCCATTTTGTAAATGTACCATTCAGTAACATTAATCATTTCACAATGTTGAACCACTGTCTATTTCCAGAATTTTCTCCATCTCAAACTGAGAAGTCACTGCCCCTGCCGCACTCCCCCCATCACCTGTAACCTGCTTTCCGCCCCTTCTCCCTGCTTGTTACCATATGCAAGTAGAATCATGTGGAATTTATCCTGGTGTATTTTAGTAGCAGAATGTTCCCATGGTTCATGGTATCAGGCATCAGAATTTAGTTTCTTTTTGTGGGTGGATAATCCTCTTTTTGATGTATCTACCCCAATTTGCTTCCTTGTATCTTGATTGGAGTGATGATGTACACATGGGTATATCGTATAATCTTAGTTTATGTCAGAAACCAATGCCGTTTGCATAAATAGCAGTGGTGGAATAAAACAAAGCTGCAAGGACTCCTGCCACTGCCCCAGGCCGGGCTTTGCTGTCTTGCCTAGTGGACTGGCACACTGGAAAGGGCTTTAGCCGGAGGCAGTGCTGGCCTGAGTTGTCCTGCTTTCACAGCATTGGGTGCACACTGCTAAGTGCCACCTGGAATCCCTTCCACCCACTGGGGAGATGTTGCCAGAAGGGGCTGGGCCTTTGACCATTTCCCTGAAGGCAGAGGACATGGCTGCCTGAGGCTGCAGTGAGGGATGACCTCCAGCTGGGTGCGTCCAGCCATGCACTCATTCCCACACAGTCCTGAGAGCCCCAAGTCAGGATCCTGTGTCCTCATGGGACTCCTCCCCACCCCCCCAGCTCTGGGGAGGCTGCCACCCTGCCTTGCCCAGGTGCTCGTCCCCATCTCCCTGTGGCCTCCTTCTGCTAGTCACCATGTATCCTTTTCTGTCCCTTACAGTTGCACTGCTGGATGTAGGGCCCACCTGACTCTTACCTTCATTGCAGCTACAGACACATGCGCCGTGCAAGACCACAGTCTAAGGGGCCTGTTCTCCCAGGGGATTTGGTGTTGGACATTCTGAAAGGATCTGTGCAGTGGTCCCACCACACAGACCCTGAAAACAGACCTACAAAACACAGCCCTCAGCCTGTTCCTTTTTGTGTCGCCCCAGTCTGCATCATGAGCTTGTAATGCTGTTATTTTAAGAGTTAGTAAGGCATTTTTCAGAAATCATCACTTGCTTCTATTCTGAGCCTTTTTTTGAATGTTATTTTAGTCTTTATGGTAGCAGCTGTACATGTGTGAGGATACATTTAATCCTTCTTTTGAATAAGGATTTTGATAAGAAATCAAGCATAAGCTTGTGACATGGAGCTATTCACATGAAAAGGGGCCTGATTTTGCAATTGTAAGGAGCCTATTATATGTCAATGTTTGGGGTTTAAAGACTAGTAGCTTTTCCCCAGTGTCACCAGCAACTAAAGAGATGGGTTAATTAGGAACATGAAATTCCACATTAAGAATACGTTTCAGGCCTAGCAAGATAGCCTAGTGGCTGAAGTCTTCACCTTACATCTGCCAGGATCCCATATGGCCACCAGTTCTAATCCCAGCTATTTCACTTCCCTTCTAGCTCCCTGCTTGTGGGCTAGGAAAGCAGTAGAGGACAGCTCAAAGCCTTGGGACCCTGCACCCATGCAGGAGACCAATAAGAAGCTCCTGACTGTTGGTTTCAGATCAGCTCAGCTCTAGCCATTGTGGCTACTTGAGGAGTGAGCCAGTGGATGGAAGATCTTTCTCTGTTTCTTCTCTCTATAAATCTGACTTTTCAGTAATAATAATTTAAAAAAAAGAATACCTTTTCATAATGGCACTAAACATTCGAATCAAAGGCGTGGCAATGAGTCAGCTTCATGGACCACAGCCCGGGTCACTAGATGCCAGTTTAGGGACTGTCTCATTAGGAAGGCAGCATGGTGAGTGTCAGGCAGAAGCCTGGAGGGTCTGTATGAAGTGTGTGTAGGACTGACTTCCCAAAGGGATCCTGCAGGATTCTGATTTGTGTACTTGTTTTTCAAACTTTTCATTTTGAATAAAAAATTTCTATATGAATTTCCTTTCCTTCCTACAGGACAGAAATCAGTGCTATGTGTTTGAAAGTAATTCGTCGTGCTCTTTCTTCTGCTGGTCACTTAAAAACGTCTCATCCTACATTTTAGAAAGCAGTTTTATTTGAGGGCTGGAGTGGGAGGGTCTCTACTGAGAGACCCTTCATTACAAATCCATTTCTACTACCAAAATTCCAACTCTCTGAAGCTGCCCATTTTGTATTTGCAGGAAGAAGAAATGTTTCGTCCCAATATGTTTTTCCTCCTCTTACTGCCACCTATCATCTTTGAGTCCGGGTACTCGTTGCACAAGGTAAGGCTCAGATGCACGCGTGGCTTCTCATGCTGTGGGGACGCAGGGTCTTTCCAAACTCGGCTGCTCACTTAGCAGGGCTGAGTCTGTTCTCCCAGGGAGCACAGCCAAGTCCCAACTGTAAGTTTAGACTTCCCAAGAAAGCAGACACAGTTCATTGGCTGCCTCGGTTCCAGGTTCCGGGCCATGTGACCCATCGACCCAGTGTGTTCTGTAGAGGAAGTTGGCCAGGGTGATTTTATGTGGGCCACAGATGAAATGGCTCCTCTTCTTGCACACAGACTAACACACATGAACAGGACAGACTTCCTTGGGACGATAGTGATGTGTGCCTCTATCAGCTCCTGTCTGGTGCCCTCTCTGTGCCCTGGCCTGGGCCCCAGTCTACTCACTGTCTTACCATCCCCCTGCCCTGCTGCCTGCCAGTCCTGAGCCTCATCCTTGCCCTGGTCCTTAAATCCCAAAGCAGCTCCCTGGCCTGGAGGGGCAGCTGTGTCACAGACCCTGCCAGTTTCTCTTCTGCCTTGGGCTTGCCAGGTCACTGTCTCATCATTCACTCTGCCAGCCTGGGGACTTCACTGTTCAAACGTGTGTGTGTGTGTACAGAATTTTCTTTGTCTTATAAATGTCCTGGAATATAAATGGTTTAACATAAAATACTAATAGTAACACATTTCTTCTGTGTACGTAATAAAACACCCAGAAGGGTGTCAGTGGCTGTCCTTCTGGTCACATGCTGCCCCCTGCAGGTTCCGTGTTAGTAGAGTAGGAATTAAATACAAAAGAAATACCCCAAACCCTGCTTGCTGGGCTACTTTGGGGTGGAAGGATGTGGGCAAAATGCCACTCACCACATTAAGTAAAGGGAGGGCCTCTTGTTGCTGTTGTTAATAGTTTCCTAAGATGGAAGTTGCATTTATCACTTAAGTTTTGGTGGAAAATTACAAATTAAATGTTCCTAGGCAATTTATTCAAAGAAAATGTGAAAAAGTAACCTAATGCAAAAAAAAAAAAAAAAAAAATTCCCAAGTCCTACAGTAAAGGATGTGTCAGATAAAATTTTTTTAAAGATTTATTTATTTTTACTGCAAAGTCAGATATATATAGAGAGGAGCAGAGACAGACAGAAATATCTTCCATCTGATGATTCACTCCCCAAGTGACTGCAACAACCAGAGCTGAGCCTGTCCAAAACCAGGAACTCTTCCAGGTCTCCCCATGCAGGTGCAGGGTCCCAAGGCTTTGGGCCATCCTCCACTGCTTTCTCAGGCCATAAGCAGGGAGCTGGATGGGAAGCGGGTCTTCTGGGATATGAACCTGTGCCTGTATGGGATCCTGGCATGTTCAAGGCAAAGACTTTAGCTGCTAGGCAATGGCACTGGGCCCCAGATAAATATTTTTTAAAAAGAAATTAAAAGGAATTGAAGGCAAAGGTCAGCATCTTTTCATTTTTATTTTATAAGCAAATCTTAAAAGCAGGTTTTGAAAGCATTACAAAATAAATGTGACAGTTTATGTAAAAGGGACAGATGTCAATTGGAAATCCCAATTGAGAAATTTTTGTTTCTTTCCTGCCCATCCTTAAAGAAGATAAGAAATGGGGAGTGGGGCCAGCATTGATAGCTCACCTGGCTGGTCCTTATCCAGCAAGTTGGGTATCCGAAATGGACACCAGTTCATGTCCCAGCTGTTCCACTTCCCATCCAGCTCCCTGCTATTGGCTGAGGAAAGCAGTAGAGGATGGGCCAAAGCCTTGGTACTCTGTACCCAGGTGGGAGACCCAGAGGAGGCTCCTGGCTCCTGACTTTGGATTAACTCAACTCTGACCATTGTGGACATTTGGGAGTGAGTCAGTGGATGGAAGATCCTTCTGTAAATCTGACCTGCCTTTCCAATAAATATAATTTTTGTAATGAAAAAACTTTGAATTAAATGCATTACTGTAATATCTCATATAGTTACTTACACAAATGCAAATGCATTTCAGGAACATGATCATAAATTAGTGAGCATGAAGTAGGGAGCTCCTGGTTCTTTAGATGGCAAATGTCACATAAAGAATAGAGAGACACAGGGAAATATGCTCTCTGTGGCTAAGGGATGTGCTTCTAGTATGCTAACTGAAATGTGGGGAAATTTTTAGTATCAAAATTTGTGTTAACCACCTGCATAATTGTGACCAGTCCAGGTAGCCTAATGTGTTCTTAAATAACAAAGCAGCCATTTGTAGAGAAAATTCATAGATCAGAGCCCTGAATTTAAGGGGAAAAAACAAGTCACTGTGTTTGCCCTGAGTTATTTTAAGATCCTTTGTGCATTGCAGATTGATAGACCAAACAATAGAGTTGGACGTCAGATTATGGAACAGCCAAACTAGTACTACAGAGAAACTTCCTGAAGGAGGCTGACTTTGGGAGGGCTGTCACTTCCTAGCCAGACACACTCACTGCTTTGAAGTGAGCGATGGGACAGCAGTTCGTGTGCGTGCTCACACTCCAGGCTATCGCAGCTCCTTTGTGTTGCTTCCTGAGTGGCTCAGTAAGATCAAGTAAGCTTGATCTCCCTAACCTTAGGGAAATTTGAAAGCTGTAGCCATGTTCCTTGGACTCAGATATTTTCTCTTAATTAATATGAAATATGGATAGAAACATAATGTATCCATTCTACTTCACGAAACCAATAGTTTGAAATGAATTATTAAAAAGTTTTGGACACTGGGGCTGTGGTGTTGCAAGTAAAGCTGCTGTCTGCCATGCTGGCATCCTAACTGGGTGCCAGTGTGCATCCCAGCTGCTCTGCCTCTGATCCTGCTCCCACTAATGTGCTTGGGAAAGCAACAGGGGAGGGCTGAGTGCTTAGGACCCTACACCTACATGGGAGACCAGGAGGAAACTCCTGGCTCATGGCTTTAGACTGGCCCCAGTTTAGCCATTGCGGCCATCTGAGTAGTGAAACCAGCAGATGAAAGAGCGCTTTCTCTCTCTATTTCTGTTTATCCCCTTTTCTTTCTATAACTCTACCTTTCAAATAAATAAATAAATCCTTTTTTTAAAAAAAAGAGACATCAAAAAGGAATTATTGATAATACAACCTATTTTCTAGATATTGTTTGTAATGATTATTGTGCTTTTTATTAATTAAGTGAAAAGTTATATAGATTTGGAAGTTTTTAATTTTTACTTATTTGAAAGAGTACCGCAAATGCATGCCTGTAGCAGCAGAGGCTGGGACAGGCCAATGTCTGGAGTTGTTGACTGTGTCTGGGTCTCCCACGTGCGCTGCTGGGACACAAGTACAAGAGCCGTCACCTGCTGCCTTCTGGAGTGCACATTAGCAGGAAGATGGAATCAGAAGTAGATCTAGACTTGAACCAAGGCCTGATTCATGGTACCGGAAGTGACATGTCAACCACTGCACCAATGTCCACCCCGGATTCGGGGATTTGATTAGTGCCTGCTCCTTGGTCATCTGCCATCTGACAGGCACTATGATAGTGACCGATGTGCAAAGACCAACATGGATCGTTGCTCCCACCAAGCCTGAAGTCTCAGTGGGCAGACTGTAATCCATCAGTCAGAGAAGTAAGTCAGATGTCACCCACACATGATCACTGTAGCTTAAGAGCACAGAGCGAAAGCTGAGTGGGGAGCTGTCTCACTGATCAGGCAGGTGGGAAATGTCCTGAGATCTTGGGCTATTCTGAGTTCACCCTGCAGGACGAAAGGCAGCAGAGTGCCAGGGGGAGAGGGCTCCCCAGGGGTCACGCCATTCAGGGAAATGGGGTCTGAGTGAAGCAGCACAAGCCGGTGGATCTCCATTGGAGGCAGAAGGGAAGGGTGCAGGAAGAGGAGCTCACTGGAGGCTGCTGCCATGGTCCAGGTGAGAGATGAGCGTGAGTGACACGGGCGCTGCAGTCGGGGGCAGCTGCTGGCACCTTCACTGAGAATCAAGCCTGAGCCCAGGGCTGGCTTTTCTGATCCTTTCTCTGATTTCTGTCCTTTCTAACAGGGTAACTTTTTTCAAAACATTGGTTCCATCACTCTGTTTGCTGTTTTTGGGACGGCGATCTCCGCTTTTGTAGTAGGTGGAGGAATTTATTTCCTAGGTCAGGTAAGAGAAACATTTTTAAACCCTTTGAAATCATGTACTTGGAGCTAGTGCAGGGAGGTGGGGCGGGGCCCCTCATGCGCCCTGGGTTTCACTTTCGGAGTGAACACCACCCACATCCCCCTCTCAGGAGGAGACCCTATCCTGTGGGAGGCATAGGAAACTGCAGGTACCCCCCAGAGCTTTGGAACTGAGTCAATGTAATTCCCCAAAGTAGCTGATTTTACTTGCAAGCCATTACTGTCTTGACATTGGATTGCCTAAAAATACGTAGTATCGGGGTCTGCAGGTTATATTCTACTGTGTTGTCAGGTAGACCGAATCAGGGTTGAAGAGTGTTTAAATTGAGATTTGAATTTTAACATCAAAGATAATTCCAGATCTGATTCCTCAATTCTAAGCTGCCTGTCTGTAGAACTGTACACCCTGGGTTCTGGCCCACAGCTCACTTACCTCCCAGGGGTGTCGGTGGAATGTCCTGTACTTTGGACTTCACGTGAATTTAAATGGCTTTAGACCCCACGGAGCCAGAGAGGTCCCATCAGTAGCTTTGCAGCATGCTTTTCCATGCCTGTCCCAGTTCTTCCCCATCTGTGTCAGTTGCAGAAAGCTCGCTGCCCCAGTTCTGACAGCTAAGTTGAGGTTAAGCTCGCTGGACAGCCGGCAGAGCTTCTCTCGTGGGCTGGCAGTTTTCTTCTCTTGCTGGTTGAAGCCCACCCCAGCCGATTCTCAGACGTAGTGCCACCGCCTTGGCACCAGAGTCCCGCTGCCATGCAGCTTCATGTGTTGTTCAGCTCTGTCAGACACAGACTCGAGAGAAGAAAACTCCAGTTCAGCGGGCCTGGAAAAGGCGGCCTTGTTAGTCATACTGTTGCTGTCTGCTGGCTGGTGCGTGCTTAGTAAACTCCGGAGTCTCTATTTATCAAGAGGTTTGGAAACAGAAGATGAATGTCCTTATTAGCTTGTAATGAAACGCTAATGGACATTTTAATCTTCTTGGCTGTTCTCCAGGGGTTTTTTTGTGTGTGTGTCTGTGTGTTTGTGTGTTTTATTTTACAGGCTGATGTAATCTCTAAACTCAACATGACAGACAGGTAAATCCTCCTTCTTGTAACATTCACGAGATGGCTGCTCAGAACAGGAAAAATTCCCTCCACATTGCTTATTGGGTGTGGTTCTCTGTGTGTGTGCTGCTGCTGCTGCCTTCTGTACGCTGGATCAAATTGTGCCTCTGAAATTAATAAAAATTTGATTGAGGCATTTTGAAGACCCTTAGAGCTTCTTTGGTTGAAATGGTTGATTTGATTGAAGCTTTGGAGGGAATAATTCCACTTGGTTTTTGTTACGCCTTTCTCCACACGTACATCGTCACCATCCTTGTATTAGGAATCAGCCTCCACAGATTTCTAGCTCTTTCCCACAGCCGTGATGAAAGGCTGTCTAGTCTTGGTAAATTTGGATTGGAAATGGGGGCGAGGTGGAACTGCATTCTGGGATCCTTGCCGTACCTGGCTGGGGCAACAGGCTGGGCCAAGAGTGACCTGGACAGCTGTGTCTGAGGAGGGCCCAGTTGAGTGTGGGGCAGTGTGTGCAGGCCTAGTACAGCTGGCTCGCCTTCATGACTAGTGTCTCTTGCAGCTCTGCCCAGAGCACCCGTGTACACCCAGCACCAGATGTGTTCTGGGGAACAGCTTCGATGGGGCTGGGAAGTGGGGCCAAGGGCTTAGCCCCAGGTACACCAATGGGGCCAGCCAGCCAGAGCTCTGAGTCCTTAGCAGCAACTCAGCAACCAGAGAGGAGACTCTTAGAATGCTGCCCTGCAAGATGTGCTTTTGGTAACAGGTGCAGTCCCATTTCCTCCACCTCCCCACCGGGACATAGATTTTGTAGCTTTTAATGAGGTAGTTTTGATAGGACAGTCCATTCTCCAACTCTGGTTCCACATTGAGGTATTCAGCCAATCGTAGATCAAAAATACTGGAGGGAAAAAAACCAACACGTGTCTGCACTGGATGTTTGCAAGCTTCATTTTTTCTTGTCATTATTCCCGCAACAGTTAAGTGTAACATCGTGCACGTAGCACTTGCATTGTGTTAGGTACTACGAGCAATCTAGGATGCTGTACAATCTATGCAGATCTAAGGAGCTTGAGTTCAGAGAATTCGGGTATCCACGGGGGGCGGGGTCTGGAACGATCCCCAACCAGAGGGACACACACAAAGCCTGCAAAGCCACTTCCTGTTCTGTGGGACCTGGAAGTGAAGCCAGACTAGGCCCCCATGTGTTGTCACTGTTTTCAAGTGAAGGGAAATGCCCCTCAACACGAGGATGATATCCTCGCCTGCAGCGCCTCTGGGCTCAGCTTGCTAGAGATTCAGGCAGTGCTAGAAAATTCTATTAACTTATTTTATTTTGTGAGACAGAGAACACTTTTTTAAAAAAATATTTATTTATTTATTTATTTATTACAAAGTCAGATATACAGAGAGGAGGAGAGATAGAGAGGAAGATCTTCCATCCGATGATTCACTCCCCAAGTGATCGCAACGGCTGATGCTGCGCTGATCCAAAGCTGGGAACCAGGAAACTTTTCAGGGTCTCTTACGTGGGTGCAGGGTCCTAAGGCTTTGGGCCATCCTCGACTGCTTTCCCAGGCCACAAGCAGGGAGCTGGATGGGAAGTTGAGCTGCTGGGATTAGATTAGCTGCTAGGCCACGGCGCCAGGCCCGAGACAGAGAGCTCTCATTTCCTGGCTTACTCCCCCAGATGCTTGCAATGACCAGGAGGGGACTAGGTTCCAGGCGGGAGCCACAAACTCAGTCCAGGTGTCCCACACGGGTGGCGGGAACCCTGTCACTTACCTATACTTGCCTTTCAGGGTCTTCATTTGCAAATCAGGTGAAGTCAAAAGCCAGAGCTGAAATGTGGATGCTATGATGTGGGAGCTGGGTATCCTAGCTGGTATTGTAACTGTGAGGTCAGGTGCCCATGCAAACATTGCTTGATTTGTTTTTGGGAGAGTGAACATTCCTGTACACTGACCCCAGCACATCTGTGCAGTGGCAGGGGCTGGCAGGGCTGGGAGCTGGAAACCTTGTCCACGACTCCTGTGTGGGTGACAAGAGCCCAGTTATTTGAACTACCTGCCAGAACTGCAGTGGTAGAAGGGTGGTGTCAGGAACTGGAGCTAGAAATTAAAGTCAGGCACTCCAGGGGTTAGGACAAGTTATCCTAACCCCTAAGTTAAACACTGGCTCCTTCCCCTTCCCCTGCCTTTTTTTTTTTTTAAACAAATCTTAGATGAATTTTTATGAAATTAAACTAATTTGGGCCTGGAGCAGTAGCCTAGTGGCTAAGGTCTTTGTCTTGCATGTGCTGGTATCTCATACAGGTGTCGGTTCTAATCCCGGCAGCTCCGCTTCTCATCCAGCTCCCTGCTTGTGGCCTGGGAAACCAGTCAAGGACAGCCCAAAGCCTTGGGACCCTGCACCCATGTGGGAGACCCAGAGGCCTGGCTCCTGGCTTCGGAGTGGCACAGCTCTGACCATTGCGGCCACTTGAGGAGTGAATCATCGGACGAAAGATCTTCCTCTCTGTCTCTCCTCCTTTCTGTACATCAGACTTTCCAATAAAAATAAAATAAATCTTAAAAAAAAAAAGTTGAACTGACCTGATGGAGACTAGACTTGGAAGAGAGGATCGGGCCAAGCTGAGTGTACACAGGTTGGATTTCCTTCTCCTTCTCCACATGCAGGTGCTACCTGTGCCTCATTTCTTGTTAGAAAGTGCCTGTCCGGGCCTGGCGCGGTAGCCTAGTGGGTGAAGGCCTTACCTGGCGTGTGCTGGGATCCCATATGGGCGCCGGCTCGTATCCCAGCTGCTCCACTTCCCATCCAGCTCCCTGCTTATGGCCTGGGAAAGCAGTAAAGGATGGCCCAAAGCCTTGGGACTTTGTATCCATGTGGGAGACCTGGAAGAAGCTCCTGGCTCCTGGCTTTGGGTTGTCTCAACTCTGGCCATTGTGGCCACTTAGAGAGTGAGCCAGCTGACGGAAGATCTTTCTGTCTCCTTCTCTCTGTAAATCTGACTTTCCAGTAGAAAGAAATAGATCTTAAAAAAAAAAGAAGAAAGAAAAAGAAATCTGCCAGGGCTGTTCCCTGGATGAGGACTCCTTTGGGGACCCAGAGCCACACAGCTAAGGGGCCAGCAGAGCTCCTGGCCAAGCAGAAAGGACAAGGCAGGGACGGGGAGGTGGGGAGCAGGCAAGCACAGCTGTCGGACGGGGCTGCCACACCCCACAGTCCCCGCTAGTTACCACGTGGAGGTAGAAGCCCCAATTATCAGATGTTTAATTTTTTTCAAAAGAGCCGTAGATTTCTATATGGAATTTTCCAGATGTTAAATGTTGATAAGTTGATTGATATTCCTGAAACCCTGTAGAGGCCAAGCATGAGACTCAGCCCACTTACTGCAGCTCTGTGCTATGGAGAACGTAGGCACGACTTTGAGGTATAGCTTTCTGCTGGAGAGAAGTTGCACTTAGACACCCTGAAGTACCTTTTCACCCCTGTTTACTTTTCCTGTATTAAGGTATTGCAATGAAGAAAGCATCTTTCTTTTTAAAAAAAAAATCTAATGTTTTTACTGAAAAGACAGATATGCAGAGACAAGAAGGAGAGGCAAAGAGAAAGATCTTCTGTCCATGATTCAAGTGGCTGCAACGGCCAGAGTTGAGTCAATCCAAAGCCAGGAGCCAGGAGCCTCTTCTGGGTCTCCCATGTGAGTGCAGGGTCCCAAGGCTTTGGGCCGTCCTCGACTGCTTTCCCAGGTCACAAGCAGGGAGCTGGATGGGAAGTGGAGCAGCTGGGATACGCACCACTGCCCTTATGGGATCCCAGCACATACAGGTGAGGACTTTTGCCACTAGGCTATCATGCCCGGCCCAAAGAAAGCACCTATTAAGTCGAATGTAGCTGTGTCCTGCCGGAAGGCTGGGTCAGGGAGCTGTGAAGTGGAACAGCTGCCGGCCAGGTCTAGCGGTCTCTTAGATGCCCTCCTGGGGTACAGATAGTTCCCGTTTCAAACTTTACAGATTCACTCTTAGAAATTCTCTGCCGTGATTGGGCCTCTGCTCATATGACATGCGCATAGTTCTCCCCCCAGCTTTTTGTTATGAAATTTGTCAAACATCCACAAAAGATAAAGAGAAAACCAGTGCACACCCAAGTAACCAAGCCCTGGACTGCAGTCACCATTTGTGGGGGCCTTCCACGATCCCTCCCTTTCCAGCGTCAGTTAATCCTACAGCTGCAGGCCCCTGGTTTTCTGCTCTAGGTGCCCCAGGGATGATAGTGAAACATGCTAACCAGGCCTCTGAGTTTTAGAGTGACTCAAACTCAGCTTGTTTTTTTTTTTTTTTTTTTTTTACTATTGGGCCCAGCACAGTAGCCTAGCAGCTAACGTCCTCACCTTGTACACACTGGGATCCCATATGGGTGCCGGTTCTAATCCCGGAGGTCTTGCTTCCCATCCAGCTCTCTGCTTGTGGCCTAGGAGGGCAGTGGAAGATGGCCCAAAGCCTAGGTACCCTACGCTCAAGTAGGAGACCCCAGGGAGGCTCTGGGATCCTGGCTTTGGATCGGCGCAGCTCTGGCCATTATGGTCATTTGGGGAGTGAATCAGTAGACTGAAGATCTTCCTCTCTGCCTCTCATCCTGTCTGTATACCTGACTTTCCAATAAAAAATTAAATAAATTGATTGGCTCTCAGAACCACAGTGGCCCCAGGTGGGGTGTGGGGTACTTCCTGCTTGGCAGCTTCCAGGGCTCTGCCCTGATCGGCTCATCCTTGGCACGCCCGCTCCACATGGCAGCACTGATAGCTCCCAGCACGTGTCGCCCTCACTTCAGCCTTCCCTGCCCCGAGGGCCAGCCTGCGCCTAGTGACCCTCGTCGGGCCAGGATCGAGAGCCCCTTGTGCTTATGACTGCAAGGGTGGAGGAGGTTATGCCCCCTGGAGCAAAACTGGACGCTGCCAAGCAGGGAGAAGCACAGCGGCCATCTCCTGCACTCCCCTTGGGAGTGGAAGGCCAGTTAAGGCCAGCACAGGCAGCACACAGCCCGTCCTAGCTCCCGCCACTGCCCCCACCCCTGCAGACACCTGCCTCTGCAGCCCTTGTGACATTGTGGCATGAGCTTCCAGGGCCAGTTCCAGCTAGGGGCTTTCAAGTAGGGTCCTTCTCCCCACAACCCCACCACCTTCCCTGGGGTCTCTGATCGCTCTCAGCACAGATCCTGGGGACAGCAGAGGTGAAAGTGCTGGCTCTGCCCCTGGCCCTTGGAGCTGGGGTGTGAGGCAGCTCCTGTGCACGTGCACCCACGAGAGGACAGCTGGCATGGACAGCGATCACTGGTGGGGTCCACAGGCTCTCCTGGGGAGTTCCCATCACCCCACCCCAGGGAGCTCCCATAGAAACCAGGACACCCCAGTTACCGACTCTCAGAGAGTACCTTACTGGCAGGACAGCCAGGTATGTGCTGTGCCCAGTCCTCCCCAGGCTCCAGAGCCGAGCTCACTGCCTGCAGGACCGCTGCACTGCCTGGCATTTTGTCTTGAGCCCAGGTGATTCTGCTGAAGAAAGCCAAGCCTGGCAGAAAGCCTGAAGGAGGAGGAGGGACGGTGTCTCGGGGTGTTTTCAACTGTCACACCTGCTGCCACCAGGACACCTCTGTCAGGCAGCCGAGCTTGCTGCCACATTGGGTCGCTTGCTGTTGCTTCTGCTCCCAGCTCTCAGGCTGGCTGGCTGCTTCCTGCCACGGGGGTCCTTGCTCAGACAAAGGTCATCTCCTTAGAGAGGCCTTCCCTCACCCTGTCTCCCAAATGAAAGTGACCCAGCTGCTGTTTGTCATGCGCCTGGATTGACTCCCCCAGGTTTCTCTTGCATTTTCTGAATCCTCTGAATCTCTGGGTATTGCTGTGGCCCCATCATGCTGGAGTGCCAGCTCGAGCCTGTCTTGCCCTGGCTCTGCCACTCGCTGCTTGACTGGCCTTGGTGTTGCCACCGTTTTGCAGTGTCACTGGGGCAGTGGCAGTGCTCAGCCCTGTGGTTGCTGTGTGGGTTGTTGTGCTCTGTGTGAGTGCTGGGCCAGCGCCTAGGGTGGTGTGAGTGCCGTGGGAAGGCTCACAGTTTGCCTCCACGCCCGAGATGCAGTGGGAAGCTGACAGAGTTCTGGGGTGTTCTCAGCAAAACCCTCAGGCCTGCCTAGGAGCTGGTGCTGGTGCTACCCAGGCCGTCCACTGCTTCCCTTGTGCCCACTGGTGGTGCTCCTGCCCTTGGGCACTCCCCTTGATGATTCTGATCAGGGTGGAAACTGGACTTGGTCGCAGTTGACACTCTGACGGAGCAAGGGGCAGAGCCATCATCAGATCCTACAGCTCTTGCGCTCCAGTTGCTCTGACCAAGAGGTCTGGCTTCAGCTGTTGTATCTAAGCAAGCATCTTCCATCCATCTTTGGTACCATAGAGTCTTCTTGCTGCTGGTGGAAGGCTGTTTCTGGCAGCTCGATCTAGAGTGGGCTCTGTGCAGTGCTATGCACAGTGTCGACCAGCAGACAAGTGGGGGAAACGCACTGTCTTCTGTCGCTGCTCTGGCTCTGGCGTGTACTATACGTTAGATTTCATAGAGGCTTTGATTTTAGTGCTTCAGTGTGCAGACCGGCCAATGCGTGTTACAGAATCGCCCCTGCCTTCTCTCTCCTTGTAGTTTTGCCTTTGGCTCCCTCATATCTGCGGTCGACCCGGTGGCTACCATCGCTATTTTCAATGCCTTGCATGTGGACCCTGTGCTCAACATGCTGGTGTTCGGAGAGAGCATCCTCAACGACGCCGTCTCCATTGTCCTGACCAAGTAAGTGTGGGGAGGGAGGGAGAGCAGACCGCCCTCCAGGACAGAGTGAAGGCTCAGCGTTGCCCTTGACTGCAGGTGCAGTGGGTAGTTCTCCGGGTGAGGCGCTGTCCCCGTCTGTCTGCCCAGGCAAGCCGTGTTGTGCTGCAAGAGTGTTGTCAGGGCCTAGGTTGATGAGGAGAGGACAGTTCGATGCTTAGCACTTACAGATTAGTGTCGCCAAGCCCTGTTGTCGTCAGCATTGAGTGAGGCACTTACTAGATGTGGCTTTCCGGCCCCGCCCTCAGGGCTTGTGATTCCAGGGCATCCAGGAAGAGTCCCAAGGCCTTGGGTTCTAACAAGGTGCCCCAGATGACATGATGCAGCAGCCTGTGGCTGGGCGGCCATGGAGTCCCCACTGTCACACGCCACCTTCATTTCAGGGCTGAGCCTCCACGAGGTGCTGCTGTGCGGGAGCTCCCAGGCAGGCTGTAGGTCTCTCCCACATGCTGCCGGGCCTGCCAGCCTCTGAGACATGAGAGGTGATCGTAGAGTGTCAAGAGGTTCCTGGGAAGTGGAAGTAGAGCTGAGATCCTCTCTGATGCAGTCTGCATTTCGTGGTGGCCAGTAACACGTGGGAGACCTAGGGACCTGGAGACTTTTACCAAAAACAGAAAGCATGGTCAGCTCCAGCAGGTGGACAGTAGAGCCCCTGCGCCGACCTGAGACTGCTGGGGACTCAGGCCCGGCTGTGTCCTGTAGGTGGCGCTTGCCCCGCCGTGAAGACTGACTTCTTTCTCTTGAGGGCTTCCTTGCTCCGCACAACCACCCTGTGGTAGTCCACTCTGTGGTAGTTCACGTTTTCCTAAAAGCACCATTGTAGATGGTGCAGTGACATTCTGTAAGGGAAAGAGCCCCGACTTTGGAGTCGGGTTGCCTGGATTTGGGTCCCAGTGGTGTCCCTCCCTGGGCCACCTCTGATTCTAGCTCTCTGGGCCAAGGTTCCTCAACCATTAAGTGAGGCTGATGATGCCTCAGCCTGGGATTGGACATGGCAACTGGTGCTGCAGCCCCGCTCCCAGGTCCAGTTGGACCACCTTGGCCCTGGCGTCGCCCTGTCTCTGCAGGAAGCACTTACAGACTGCGTGGGGCGGGAGGTACTCCCTAGACCTTAGAGAAAACCCAAACCAAACAAGTGACATTTGGAATATTCTGATCACTCTAAGGGTAATCCATATACTGCTGATGTAAATTTAGAAAAAATGTGGGAAGACAGGGAAGGTGGAGCCCATATGCTTCTAAATCTATATTGTGAAAAATGAGAAGCTGATCCATTTCAAGTAAATAAAGAAAAGCGACACGCAAGGGAGTGTTCATACATTGCTACCACCCAGAGGGATTATGGGTAATAGTTTGGTGCATGAATGCCTATATTTTATTTAAGTAAACTTGTACCCCCATGTGTTGCTGCAATGATCTTCTGTAACACCGTTTTATTGGTTGTAAAGTGTCCCTTTCTTTGTTTCACTCTGACCTACTTCGCCAGCTCCCTTTCACTGGGTTTTTCATGTTTCTCTTGGCAGAAATTTCTGTAACTTTAATAGGAAATTATCATACATCGTGCTGCAAGACCACTGAAACAACTGATGGCAATATTTTTCGTATTGGAAGTGTGCTCGGAAGCCTGTCGAGCCTTCTGCTTTTAACTTTTATCTCGTATCCTGGCTACACATACTGAACATGTGCGATAGGGAATTTTGCCCAAGTTGGAGGTGACATCATGAGTTATTTTTATACATCAGGAGCTAAGCTCAAATGCTTTGTCTCTGATTTATTTAAAGAAAAAAAAAATCTGTCAGGAATAGGCCTGTTTCTGAGCTTCTCCACACTTTGCTTCAAAAAGATGAGGTTTTTTTGTTTGTTTGTTTTGTTTTTTTTCTTTTTAGGATTTACTTATTTATTTGGAAGGCAAAGAGAGATATGGGTGTGCTTCCATCCTCTGGTTTGCTTACCAAATGGGCTCAAAGCCGGCCCTGGGCCAGGCTGCCCGAGAGATCCCTGCAGGACTCTTACACGGCTGCTCTGCCCCACTGTGTTGTTTCAAGAACAAAACAAACCACGAGTCTATCTCCAGAGTGTAGCCTCCCCCTGCCCGGGGTGCCCAGGCACGGTCACGTCCTCCCCCTGCCCGGGGTGCCCAGGCACGGTCACGTCCTCCCCTGCCCGGGGTGCCCAGGCACGGTCACGTCCTCCCCTGCCCGGGGTGCCCAGGCACGGTCACGTCCTCCCCTGCCCGGGGTGCCCAGGCACGGTCACGTCCTCCCCTGCCCGGGGTGCCCAGGCACGGTCACATCCTCTCCCTGCCCGAGGTGCTCAGACAGGGTCACATCCTGTGAGTGCCATGTTCTCTGTTCTGGTGAGCTGAGAGCTAAAGCATCTGTCTCTGTCCTTGACACTGAGCATGTGTATAAATGACCCCTTTTTAAATGTCACCTTTTTTTTTTTTAAAGATTTATTTATTTTTATTGGAAAGTCAGATATACAGAGAGGAGGAGAGGCAGAGAAGATCTTCTGCCCACTGGTACACTTCCCAAGTGTTTGGGCCTTCCTAAACAGCTTTTCCATGCCACAGGCACAGAGCTGGATAGGAAGTGGAGCCGCTGGGATTAGAACTGGTGCTCATGCAGGATCCTGGTGTGTGCTAGGTGAGGACTTTAGCCACAAGGCTACCGCACCAGGCCCTAAGTATCACCTTCTTAAATGCCTCAGCTTTTTTTTTTTAGGACTTATTTATTTTTATTGGAAAGTCAGATATACAGAGAGGAGGAGAGACAGAGAGGAAGATCTTTCATTCTCTGATTCACTCCCCAAGTGGCCACAATGGCCGGAGCTGAGCCGATCCAAAGCCAGGAGCCCAGAGCTTCTTCAGGGTCTCCCACATGGGTGCAGGGTCCCACGGCTTTGAGCCGTCGTTGACTGCTTTCCCAAGCCACAAGCAGGAAGCTTAATGGGAAGCAGGACTGCTGGGATTGGAACCGGTGCCAATATGGGATCCTGGTGCATGCAAGGCAAGGACTTTAGCCACTAAGCTACCATGCCAGGCCCAAATACCTCAGCTTTAATTAAGTTATCAGTAACTTTGAATTGTTGCTATGACAATTTTTACACTCACTCCTATGGAGGAGACCTTTTGCTTGCTCTAGATACTATTTAAGTGCATGAAATGGATCCTGAAGCCACATTGTCTTTTATTTATATATATATTTTAAGATGCATTTTTTTACTTGAATGAGTTATGGAGGAGATGGGGAGGGGGAGACAGTGAGAAATCTTCCGTCTGCTGGGTAACTCCCTAAATAGTCACAGCAGCTAGAGCTGGGCTAGTCTGAACAAAGCTGGAAGCCACATGGGTACAGGAATTCAAGGCCTTGGGCCATCCTCCGCTGCTTTCCCAGGCCACCAGCAGGGAGCTAGAACCAGGATTAAAACCAGTGCTCATGTGAGGTGCCAGTGCCACAGGTGGAGGGTTGGCGTGCTGTGCCACTGTGCCAGCCCCTGTCCTTTGCTTCTTAGAATGTGAGAACAAAATAAGAAATGACATGGGGTGAAGCATGATCCGCGTCAGAGAGCGTGTGTCTGAGTGCCACCTGTGCTTGCAGTGTCGCTCCTGCTAAGGTGCTTGGGAGGTCCAAGTACTGGGGCCCCTGCTACCGCATGGAGATGCAGATGGAGCTGCTGGGTCCGGCCTGGCCCAGCCCTGGCTGTGCAGGAAGCTGGGGAGGGAACCTGTGCAAGGGGACTCTTCACTTGATGTGTCCCTTTGCCTCTCTCACTCTGCTTGTAGTCAGTCGCTGGTCCAGAAAGAGTCTGGACTCTGTTCATTCTCCTCGTGCCAACCCTGAATCCACCGCTCACCCCTTAGGACCTCACCGCGTTGCTCACCCTCTCCGGGCCTCAGCTTCCTCGTGGGGAGAAGGAGGAAGTGACCCAGACAGGGTCCCAGCTGCACACTGTGGGGCGCTGGTGTGGCTGAGGCCTCCCTTGCCGGCTCCCGCCTGGGGTCTCCTGGGAAGGCCTGGGGTGGGGTGACTGTATGTTCAGGTGGGTCTGGAAAACAGCTGTGTGGGAACGTCAGGGGTCTTCTCTGCAGGACTTGTCAGGGCATTTGCTGCAGAGTAAACTTCCTAGGTGTTTGGAGAAGTGGGCTCACGATGCGTAGTATTAGCAGACACTTTTCGTCGTTTCAGTGAATGAGTAAGCAGAAATGTTGTGTTTTTTAAGTGCCGGGTTCTGCTTTAGGCTCTAGCCACAGGTCATGAATAGGAGGGCAACAGACTTGATTCTCACGTGCCTTGACTAAATAGGAGCCATGAGAACCTGTCAGTGGGCTGGCCTGGTGAGGAGCAGGTGCCCAGAATTAGCTGGGCCCAGGCAGGGGTGAAAGAGGACCCTGTAGGGAGGGACCAGTGATGAGCGGCCCTGCCCCAGGTGAGGGGGAGAGGCCAGGATGGTGGTACGGGGAGAGGACACGCTGAGGACTGGTGGCCTCAGCAGGCGTGTCCTGCTTTAGGGCACAGCCTAGGCGTTGCATGGAGGCAAGGACGTATGCTGAGACCCCTGCGGCCCGGTCCTGGGAGGGAAGCGGGGGAGGTGGAGCTGTGGGTGGATTTAGAGTTGGACGGTAGAAGTCACAGCTACAGGTGTGTAGGGGAGAGCTCCCGGTTAACGGAGTCCTCACATTTCCCTTTGAGGTTGAAACCAACACTTCTGCTCAGTGACTGCTGACATTCATTTTGTTCTGTTACGGTGAAAGGAGAATTCTACCACTGAACCACCCATGCACTGCTGTTACAGTGAAAGGAAAGTCCTTGCAGGTCTTCCTCCTTCATCCTGCCCTCTCGGCATAAAGCCTCTGACACTTCCCTAACCTGCCATCTTGCACAGCCTCCAGCTCAGGTTTCATTGCAGGAGTCCAAGCTGAAAACACGTCCCATGGAGTAGTCCTGTCTGCAGGACACACTGCCAGCGCGTCTCCAGACCCTGTGCCCTGGCGCTGTTACTCCACCAGGCCGCCCCCAGTTCAGCCTGCTCCCTGCCTGTGTGTTGGCCCCGGAAATCTACAGTTGAGTGTCCCCAGGGTCCCTGCCTTTACATGTAGTTCCCCACCCTGTGGGGGCTTCCATGCATTTCTTCCTGTAGTTAACTATTTGTTCCAAACCCATGCACAGCCCAGGAAGCTTCCTTGGCCACCCAGGCTGTTACTGCCCCTCCTCTGCGCCATCTGCCAGGGTATCGGTAGTTCCCTTGCCATGCTTCTTCCTCAGTGCACTGAGGGCACCTGCCCAAGGCCAGGGCCTTTGCTGTCCTTTCCAAATGCCCAGCAACCAGGACAGCCCCCAGGTGAGAGTAGGTGAACGGTCAGCATTGGCTTGGCTCAGTGGTGGGTGAGTGGATGAGAGCATAAGCAAGACAGAAGTTTAAAGCCCTAAGTGAATTTCCAAGAACTTTTGTCAATAACATTTTTTTTTTTAGATTTTTTATTTTATTTTATTGGAAAGTCAGATATACAGAGAGGAGGAGAGACAGAGAGGAAAATCTTTCATCCGATGATTCACGCCCCAAGTGAGTGCAACGGCACTCATGCTCTGCTGATCCAAAGCCAGGATCCAGGAACTTCTTCCGGGTCTCCCACACGGGTGCAGGGTCCCAAAGCTTTGGGCTGTCCTCGACTGCTTTCCCAGGCCACAGGCAGGGAGCTGGAAGGGAAGTGGAGCTGCCGGGATTAGAACCGGTGCCCATATGGGATCTCGACGCGTTCAAGGCGAGGACTTTAGCCGCTGAGCCACGCCGCCGGGCCCTGTCAATAACATTTCAATTTGTTTCCTTTTTCATTTCTTAGCACAGCTGAAGGTTTAACAAGAAAAAATATGTCCGATGTCAGTGGGTGGCAAACCTTTCTGCAAGCCCTTGGCTACTTCCTCAAAATGTTCTTCGGCTCTGCGGCGCTGGGCACCCTGACCGGCTTGATTTCAGCATTGATATCCTTTGCCAGGAAGCACACACGGAGCAGTGTACGTGGCTGGCAGTTCCTTCCAGTTCTGACCATTTTCTTCCAGTCCCTCGGGAGCCAATAAAGGAGGACCATCAGCTAAGGTTTTGGGTTGAAAAATCACTGGTTTCAATTCCTTGATTTAAAATATACCATATAAAGTTGACGATGCCACTTTCTTTTTTTTTTTTTTGAAAGATTTATTTTTATTATTTTGTTATTGGAAAGGCGGATGTACAGAGAGGAGAGACAGAGAGGAAGATCTTCCATCCGATGATTCACTCCCCAAGTGAGTGCAATGGCCGATACTACGCCGATCCGAAGCCAGGAGCCTCCTCCAGGTCTCCCACTCAGGTGCAGGTTCCCAAAGCTTTGGGCCGTCCTCGACTGCTTTCCCAGGCCACAAGCAGGGAGCTGGAAGGGAAGCGGGGCTGCCGGGATTAGAACCGGCGCCCATATGGGATCCCGGGCGTGCAAGGCGAGGACCTTTAACCACTTGCGCCACCGCGCCAGGCCCAACGATGCCACTTTCAAAGCTTATAAAAGCTTGTTCACTGGTGGACATCAGATGGGATTTGGGAGCTGTCCTGTTCTGAGAGTGTAGTGACCACAGCCAGGGATTTTCATTCTTTCTCTTTTTTTTTCAGGTTTATTTGTTTTTGTTAGAAAGGCAGACTTTCAGAGAGACAGAGAGGTCTTCTGTCCACTGGTTCATTCCCCAAATGGCTGCAGCAGCTGGAGCTGAGCTGATCTGAAGCTAGGCCAGGAACTTCCTCCAGGTCTCCCACGCAGGTGCAGGGTCCTAAGGCTTTGAACCATCCTCAACCAAGCCACAAGCAGGGAGCTGGATGGGAAGTGGAATAGTTAGCACTCAAACTTGTGCCATATGGTAGGTTTAGCTTCTAATACCACTGCACCATTTTCCACTGCCTCAGTCCTCACATTCAGAAAATTAGAAACTGATTTTCATTGAAAATGTCGATTTGAGAAAATCTTTACTCCACAGAACGTGTTTATCTGGAAGGATCAAGAAGGGTGTTTCCCAGGGAGCTCCACCCAAGCCGTGTGCTCTGCCTGGCGCCTCGCGGCCCATGAGCTTGCCCAGCAGCTAAGAAAGAGGCTTGCTAAGGCCTAGGACGCCGTTGTTGATGGAGAAAACACAGCATGTGTGAACAGGAGCGGGCCCTTTCCATCACTGCTGCGCCCAAGCCTGTGGCTCAGCGAGGCCAGCTGGCCTCCTCCACGCTCAGTTTGCTGCACAGATGGCCCGAAGAGATGCCTGCCTGGCTACCGGTCTGTTTTCCTGCCATGCTGTTGGCTCCTCCTGCCATCCACTCCTTTGTCCAGAAGCGTAAAGACTCTGTGTTGGTGGCTGACAGCTTCTCATACTGCACCCATAAACAGAAGGAGAGAAGAGAAAACTGAATTTCTGTTGCGCTTTTCCCCTGTGTTTTGTCACAGAGCAGAGGGAGTCCCCTGAGCTTCCCCAGGCACCATGAGCCGTGTTGGAGCAAAATGAGTGCCCTGGGCGTGCGCATGGGCGCCGTGGACAGACCCGAGGATCTGGCTAACTCTGTGAAGAGGCAGGAGCTGGACACCAGCAGGGCTAGGGTAGATTGACCCCCGTGCGAGGACAGGAGGAGGGCAGGTGCCCATTCAGGATCTCACCTGAGCACCTCGGGTGGAGGGTGACAGGCCCCACAGGGACCTGGTGGTGGCAGCTGTCCCCAGTGTTTAATCTCCACAGCAGTCCCCTTGGTAATGGGAGAAATGCACAGAGCTAAGGTTGCCTGTGACCCCAGGCACCTGGAACATTCCCAGTTCTTCCAAACTTCATTTGAAAAGCAGGAGAGTGAGAGAGAGATTTTCCATCCTGTGGTTCACTCCCCAAGTGGCTACAATGTCCAGGGCTTACAGCTGAAGCCAAGAGCCAGAAACTTCTTCCAGATATTCCACGTAGGTGGCAGGGGTCCAAGTACTTAGGTCATCATCTACTGATTTCTCAGGTACATTAGGGAACTGGGTTGGAAATGGAACAGCCGGGACTCAAACTGGTGCTCATATGGGATGTCAGGACTGCTGGAAGCAACTTAACCTACTGTGCCACAGCAGCAGCAGCCTAGAATTTTTAAAAAATACAGTTATTTATTGATCGCTTTTATCTGAAAGGAGAGTGAGAGAGCTCTGCCTCAAATGCCTACGAGAGGCAGAACTGGGCCAGGCCCAAGCCAGGGTCATGGTGGCAGGGACCCAACTACTGGAGCCGTCACTTGCTGCCTGCCAGTGTGCACACTGGCTGGATGCTGGAATGCAAAGTGGAACCGTGACTTGCACCCAGGCTGTGATCCAGGATGTAGGATCCCACACAGGTTGATAACCACTACACCATATGGCTGCTCCGAGTCAGCGTTTTTAAACGAGTCAACTCAATTTTCCCTGCCATTTGTCTCAGGACTTTACATTTCTTAGTCTTTTGTGAGATCCCCTAGCTTATGATGAGAGTCTCTTTGCAAAGGAAAATTCCAGAAGGACAGGTTCTCAGTTGTACCCTTAGAATGTTCCCAAATCCTTCCTCTCCCATGTTTGGAACACTGGCAGTTCTGACTGCACTGTGTCTCACGTCAGCTGTCCCTTGAGTCTCTTTCCTTGACCTTGGTCGCTTACGTGCTGAAGCATATTGACCTGAGGAAGACACCGTCCTTGGAATTCGGCATGATGATCATTTTTGCGTACCTGCCATACGGGCTCGCAGAAGGGATCTCCCTCTCGGGTAAGTGAGAGTGAGCCGGAGCCACAAAGGCGGTCCTTGGCTCCCTGCGCCACAGTTGGTGCAGGCCGGCCGGATCTGCTGTGAGTCTGTGGGTGTCGTGGTCACATTTTGTGTGTGCCCACTTTCTCTCATTTCTCCTGCTCAGTCCGTTGCAGCCCATGTGAGGTGGACACAGGGAGGTCCCCAGCAGATGAGATGACTCTGGCCAAGAGAGAGAAAATACATTGCACAGGGTCTCAGCGGAGTTGGAACTCGATTCATATTGAGTTGTTTGACTTGAGAACTGATGCCTGCAAGCTCCTCTTCTAACAAAAACACCTTCTGTGGCCACTCGGGGTCAAGCAGAGGCTGGCTATGGCCTGAGGATGTGAAGGTAGCATTTATTGGTTACACCTGACCTGTATTCATCTTGTTAACACTCCTATGTGGAAAGAGGTGCTCCGAGGGTGTCACAAGCACACATTGTGGGGTCGGTGCCTCGTGCTGCACCCTGGGAGGAGGTGTGCGGTACCCTGCAGCAGAGCCAGCGCCAGGGAGGACGGTGTGCACCAGCTGTGGGCAGCCCTGCTGCCAGGCTGACCACTCAGCCCCTTCCCTGCTTTTACTCAGTTGGCAGCCCTGAGCTGCCAGGCTGAGCTTGATTGGTGTTCCCACCCACAGGCGGGCAGCTGGTCTTCATCCGTAGTTTTTGTAATTATGGGGATGGTAGCCTGGGCATGGAGGCCTGGGAGCAGGTCAGGAGCCCGACTCACTTCCCCTGTGAAGGAGAAGTGAGGCAGCAGCTGCCTTTGGTCTGATCCTGGCCTTGGAAAGAAGGCCCTTTGGAAACCTGCTGTGGAAAAGGGACGCTGTGGCAGGGGATACCATGAGCCCGGCTAACGGATGGCTAACTTTGCCCTAACTTTGTTGAGGCATAGATTACCCAGGGTAAACTGGGTAGATGGCCCCATGGGCCTTGATCAATGGATCGCAGCTGCCCTGGTGCCCTCTGCCTGTCCCTGAGCCCCCTGATATGCATCGTGTCGCTCTGGTAAATGAGGCCATGTGGTGTGTACTCAGTGTATTGTCATAATGACATTTTAGGAGGAAGTTGAGCCATCCCGATGGATGTGTAGCACCTGGATTTGGGGGTGTCTTGGTGCCCTTTGGTTTATATTCTGCTTAGGGTTCACTAGGCTTTTTGGGCTTATACTTTGTAGAAGTTCATAGCTTTCATTAAATTTTGTAAAATTTTTGCTTATTTCTTTAAATAGTGTTCTGCTCCTCGCTCTCCTTCCCTGCTGGGACCTCAGTGACACCAGTTTTGTGGCCAGCATGTCATTGGCCTCCTGTGGGCTCTGTTTTGGTTAGTGTCCATTGCTCTGATCCAAGTTCATTGTTCTTTTCCTGTGCCATGCGGGAGCTCCTGTTAACCCCACCAGGCATGTGGACACTGTCCATCCACACACATTCCCTGCAGGTCGTTCCTGCATCTTCCATGTCTCATTTCATTGTTTCTGCTCACTTCTGAATCCTTGCGCCCGTGAGGCATGCTTCATAGCACCTGCCCTGGTATCCTGTCCCCTGATGCCTTCTGTACCCTGATGGCAGCCCTTGGAGTGTTGAGTCTATTCATTTTTTCTTCTTCTCTTGCCCTTTGCCATCTGAGTCCCCCAGAACCAGCTCAGTCCTGTGGAGATTTGCCTGTGGGCTGTCAGAAGGTGGGCACAGAGCCGCAAGGCTGAGGCAGTGCCCACCGAGGGCCCGCCTGGCTCTGGGTAATGTGGTCTCTGCGCTAGCGGAGGGAAGCACACCCCCCAGCCCCACATCTCTCTGAGGGGTGCTTGGTCCCCTCCTGCTGGAGGTTTGTCCCTCATGTATGCAGCTCAGGATTTAAAGGCGCCTCGCTGTTGCTCTCCAGAGCTTTCCTGCAGCTTCCCACGCAGGTGAAGGGGGGGCCCGAGTAGGAGAGGCCTGACAACTTCACTAATGTACTTCAGTTCAGCAGTCCCGTGCAGAGCGTGGCTGAAGGAAGGTCCTGAGGGTTAACCTCATCAGAGGGCAAAGGGGCTGGAGAGAGTGGGTGCCTTTCAAGAAAGCAAATGGTTGCTGGTGGAGTGAACAGACCTCAAGGCAGGAATCTGCTCCTAAAGTGATTCCCTGGAACTTGGCAAGGCTGCGGGGCGTATGTTGTCTGAGTAAGTCCATGCGGGTGTCTCTTCTGCAGGAGTTGCTGAGACTTTGAGGGGGATGGAAGTGTCCTCTGGGGCTGGCCACTAGGTTAAGGCCGACACTGGGGCAGCCAAGGCCTTCCCCACCCCTGGGTGAGAAAGGACCAAGAGGGGAGGGAGGGGGTCAGAGACCCATTGATTCTCAGATGATTTCTGCACTCAGCACATGAGGTACCGCCAGTTGGGGTGTCATTTTTCTGAGCCCCAGCATTTCATGCCCCTCTGGCTAATGGGAACCCAAACTGCTCTTGTCCTGAGCCATCTTCACGAAGTGTCTGGCTGCTGCCTTCCTGTGTCCCTGCATCGTCTTGGTGTATGCAGTCTGGAATCAGCTGAGTGCCAGACTCAGAAGGCCCTAGAGTTGGGCAGCAGCCCAGCACCACACCCCGGGTGCAGCCATGTGGACACTGGTGCCCCTAGGCCACCCTGTTTGCTCCCCTGTACTCCAGTTGGAGAACTTTTGGAGAGCTTCTACCAGCTTTTCTTGCTGTTTGGGGAAGCATGGTGATTTGCATTGCAGCCGTTGCTACAGGGCACCATGGAAGTCCCGGGGATTTTTATGACTCAGCTGAGCAGAGTTCTCTTGGGCTTTGCTCCGTCTGGGGTTACCGGGGGCATCTGTAAGCAGATCCTGCTGAGGAGGAAGCTGGGAGGTCCTCCTCATGGGAGGAGCCCCTGTGACCTCCAGGCTCTGCTGCTGAGCCTACGCCCGCTCCCCCGAGATGGTCTCATCCGGGACCTGCCATCAGCTTCCTGCTAACCTTGACTGATTTAGGCAGTTAAATGGGCCTTACTGTGAGTCATCCGCCCAGTGCACCCACTTCACGATGTCTTCCAGGTTGTTCTCCCACCCCCTTGAGATGATCATCACTCAAAGATGCAATTCGGGCCCCAGTTGGAATTAGTGATGGAAACAGGAGGTGGGTTTTCTTGGTTTTCCTTTCAGAGTAGTCACACTTTCTGTAGACTTGGGGACCTTGCTACACACACACAGTGAGGACAAAGCCGTGCAGGCCAGCAGCAGGTGTGGGAAGTGGCTGCGAACCTCTTGGCCTTTGGGTGATTTTCAGGCAAGGTCTTCAGAGCAGACGGGCTGGCCCTCATGTGCTGCAGGGGCCCCCCAGTGGCAAGCAGGGCGCACATGAGAAGGGGGAGGTTTTGCTCTTTTTTTCCTTTGTAAGCCCCTTTTCCTGCGCATCACAAAGGACTAACCATGTGTGGTTCCATGCAGGACTTCCTCATCCTGGGAGTCATGAACCCTGGGCCTGTTACGGACACAGTGTTTGGGTCTGACTCTGAGCTCGATCTCTCGTTAGCCATGTAAAAGTGCCCACTTCCTTGGTCCTAGACTCAGCACCACAGGCGGGCCCGCCCAGTCAGCCCTGCGGGGGAGCATCGTTGAGGCTGTGCCTCCTGCTTTGGTCTTGGCCCAGTGCCCTGTGGTCCCGGCAGGATGAGTGGAGAGCGCCTTCTCACCCTCAGCACAGCGAGGCGTGAAGTCGCTCTGGTTACTCCTCAGTAAAAGCAAACAATTCTTGGAATCTTTGGTTTTAAGTTTGTTTGTTTTAAAAGTATTTATTTAAAAAGTAAAACAAGAGCAAGCAGGAGAGAGAGGTCTTCCATCTACTGTTTCGTTCATACAGAACTGAGCCGGGCCAGGCCAAAGCCTGGCACCACAAACTCCATTCTGGGTCTCGCTGTGGTGGCAGGGACCAGGCATGCAGGCTGCATTTGATGCTTTCCCAGGTGCAGTGGCAGGGAGGACTCCGAAGCAGAGCAGCTGGGTCTGGGACTTGCATACCTAAAAGGGCTGGCAGCTGCAACACACTCCAGCCAAGTGGTTTTTAAGATGAACGTACCTACTTGAAAGGCAGAGTGGGCAAGGGCAAGGGGCTGGTGAAAGACCCCCTGAGGAGTCATGGTCTAATGCCTGGGCATGAACTGCTTTCCTCCCTCACTGCAGTTGATGTGAGGCTGGCTGCTGGGCCATCGGCTCTGAAGGATCAAGGATGAGAGCAGAGCCCACTGCGGCCCTACACAAGCCCAGGCTCACAAACACGGGGGAGCTTGGGCGGAGCCACAGAAGATGAACTGCAGAGCAGGGACTTTGGGGCTAATAAATGAGGGCAGCGTGGATCAGGGCCTCACACCTCCTGCCAAGTGGCAGCCTAAGCCCAGCTGCAGGTGGAACACCTCCATGGGCAGAGGTGTGGATCCATGGCCTTCCATGGCCTGCTGCTAGGAGAAAGAGTGGACGTGATGACCTGGTCATCCACTAATAGGAAAGATCAAGTTCCAAAACAAACTGTTAAATTTTAAGAAAGGAAATGGAAAACATGATTTGTTGAGCTGCTCAGTGAGCATTGGTTAGATGCCTGCCCCTGTGCCAGGAACTGTCCCAGCTGTCTGCATCGTGGCGGACCAGACAAGGCCAGTTCCTGCCTGCAGCAGAAAGGAAGTATGTATGTTCAGTTAGCATGTGATGTTATTTCAGTGGATTCTATGAAGTAAAATAAGTGAAATATTGAAGAAAGTTTATTTTTCATAATATGTGTGGAATGGAGTGACTCCTGTCTGAATTTTAGGTTTTAATTGTTTGCTTTCTTGTTTTTATTTTGGGGAGGTGTATTGTCACTTGCTTGGAGGGAGATTCGCTCTTGAGTTTATCAGAAGAAAGGCACTGGGGACACAGAGTGAGGCAGAGCTTTAGTGATGCTGGTAGCCGTTCTCTGCTGTGTGTGGCTTCTTGTTCTTTGCTCCTTGTCTTAAGCCCATCTTCTGCTGCAGTCACTCCCGAACAAGGACAAGGGCAGCGTCCACTTCCTGATGAAGTTCTTGTCCTTCTACCTGGTTAAATAGGAATATGTAGGTTGTATTTTATTAACTGTGTATCCCTTTTAATGTCATGAAAGCCTATTTACTGTTTTTTTTAATTCATTGTTGATAACATGAAACATACTTATGATTTAAAAAAAAAAGAAGGAAGTATGCATGTCAGCCAACACGTGTGCTGCAGAGGAGCGATAGGGACCTGGGGGCCACGCAGAGTGACAGGATGGAGAGCAGCCCAGTGTGGTGCCTGTGAGGGAAGGAGGCCACTGGCCTGGTTAGGTTGGTCTCCCCGAGGAGGTGGCACTGGCCCGGGCTGCGGGGAAGAGCTGAGGAAGGAGGGCTGGGGAACAGTAGATGCCAGGGGGCTTCTGGGCCCGTCTTATCAGGCTCCAAGAAAGCAGGGAAGTCAGCATGGCTGGGCGAGAGCAGGTCCAGGCCCCACCAGCCCAGTAAGGGACTGGGCTCCTCCTGTCCGTGCAGAGGTAAGAGTTGGCAGTCTCTAAACAAAGCACCTGCCATAAAGGTCCCATGTGCCTGTCTGTCTGATGACCTTCACGCATCTGTGTCATCATATGGTACTTTACAATCACTCCCTGCCTGCAAGCTGTTCCTAGGAGTTCCCTTTGCACCAGCGCTGTGCTTAAGATTTACTTATGCAGACCAGGCAGGGGCAAGCAAACCTAAGCCTACTGGCAAGTGTGGAAACCAGGCTGGAGTGGCTGTCTCACCTGCTGGTTTGCATGAGCCAGGGATGGAAGCAGACGAAGCAGGGCCAGGTCCCAGCACCAGCCAGTGAGTTGTGGGACTAGGGGCAGGCCGGGTCATGCCAGGATATAGCATCCAAAAGCAAAAATCATGACAGGAGAGGAACTAGGCCAAGTTGGGTCAGAGCAACCACTGGCACACACAAATCTGTGGCTGGGGACAGGCCTGGTTGCGGAGCAAAGGGGATGCTCTGGTTGGGTTGTGGTTCCCACTTGTGAATACAAAGGCCAGAGTGGGGAATGTTGTGTGGTCTGGACATGGCTGCAGTGTCCCTCAGCACAAGTATGGACTGGGTCTGGGGTTGGCCAGACTGGGCCAGACTCCAGCACCCACTGGTACTCATGAGAACCATGATATAGATGTAGGACAGGCTAGGCTAAGTCTCTCCCTGTGCTGAGCCATGTGGGAGCTGTGGACCAGGCTTGGCTGGGCTGTAACACCCAACAGTAAAAACCAGAATGGGTGAAGGCCAGTCAGGAAAGGCCACTGTTCCTGCTAGGACAGGAGGTAGACTAAGTAGGGCTGACCCATGGACCCACTGTGTGCGCAAGATCTGGCATTGGGAGAGGTTCTAATGAAGGAGCTTGGGTAACTCCTCTGTCAAGACACAGTCCCTGCAGGTGAGTGCAAGAACCACAATAGGGAGCAGCCTAGACCAGGCCAGGGAGTAGTACCCACCGGCATACATTTGGTGCAGGTCTGGAGGTTGGGGGGACCAGGCTGGGCCAGTTCATATTACCCGCTGGCGAATCTGAGAACCAGAATGGTGTGTGGGCTGGGCCAGTTTACATGAGGGCCAGGACTGGGGGCCAGCTGGACTGGGCTAGGCTGTAATCCCCACCGGCGGGAGTTGAAATTGGAGGTGAGCTGGGCCCGGCCAGGCTATAGCATCCACTGGCAAATGCCGAGGTGAGGCGGGCCATGCCAGACTGAGCCACAGCACCCAACCAGCACACCTGAGACCAAGTGGGGAGGGGGCAAAGCTGGTAGAGGAATATTGAGGGCTCCCCTGCTGGACCACCAGTCCCACTGGAGAGCGTGGGTTGGGATGGGGGCAGACCAGACCAGGCAGGGCTACAATGTCTGTTGGCCTTGTGTGAGCTGGACTAGGGGAAAGCCAGGTTGGGTTGACTGTTCTACTGGTGCAAACATAAGTCAGAGTGGGTGTGGGTTGGTTGGGCTCTGCTGCAGTATCAGCTGGCAGATTCTGACATGGGGGGGCACATTCTGTCAAGTTAAACTGCAGAACCACCTGGAGAGTGCATGATAGGAGAGTGGGAATAGGCCCAGTAGGGAAACAGTAGACACCTCCCTCCTGGGTTGCCACTCCAACTGGTGAGCATGAGAACCAGGACTGGGACAGATATAGAGTGGCACCCGCCAACACATGTGTGGGCTGGATAGTGGGGCTGGTTGGGTTGAACAAGGCTTCAATGCCCATTTCATGTATGAGAGCCATCTTCTTTCCCAGGTGCATTAGCACAGTTCTCGATTGAAAAGGGCAGCACCCAAATGGGATGCAGGTGGTACAGGCAGGGACTTAACCTGTAACGTCACAATGCCGCCCTAGGTGGCCCATTTTCCACATAAGTAGATGAAGTGCACAGGTGGCAGGAACACTCAGAACCCAACCTCCAACTGGGGTTTATGCAGAAAAATTTTTAATTCTTGAGCAGTTGCTGTCATTTGAATTCTGAGATTTCCCATAAGAAGCTGAGTGCAGGTATCTCTCAGGAACCAGGGTTAGAAGAGAGAGACATTGTTCTGGCACCTTGGAAGGCCTCAGCCCTCTCTTAGTCTGGGCCACAGGGACAGCAAGCGGTGTGAGGCGTGGCGTGGCTGTCACATGGCAGATCCACTCACAGCTGCGCTCTGCCCCCTCTTGCTGCAGGCATCATGGCCATCCTCTTCTCGGGCATCGTGATGTCGCACTACACGCACCACAACCTCTCCCCGGTCACCCAGATCCTCATGCAGCAGACCCTGCGGACCGTGGCCTTCCTGTGCGGTGAGTCCCGCCTCGGCGGTCGTGGTTCATCATCGCCTCTCCTCCCGCTGCCCTGGGCGTCAGCTGAGATTCTCCCTGGCAGCAAGTTCCGCAGAGCCCAACACTGCCGCCTCTTCTGTTGATTCCTCTGGCTTCATGAGCCAGTAAAGCAAACTGAACACCTCGTAAATGGAACGTTAAATAAATACACAATTTTAAGACGCCAAATAATGTGAACAACTGATGGTGAACATTTCTGAAAATGTATTTCTTGAAAATGACATTGGTGAGGGTTGGATGAAAGAGGCTCCACAATTTAAATAAATAAAAAAAAGTTTAAAATCCCAGGTTAAATCAAGTTTAACAAGTTCATCAGCTGCCAGACTTTCCAGTGACTGTGCACTGTCAACGTTCTAACAAGAGATGTAGTTCCAGCTTTCCTAGGCGTTGTGGCCCCAGAGCTCTTTGTTCACAAAGCATCCTTGTGAACTTGAACTTGGGGGGGTTCTCTTGGAGCACAAGTAGACCATCATGCATTTTGCTTTTAAGCAATTTTTCTTTGAGCTCTTACTGGTCCCACACTCACCCCCACACCCCCATCCTTATTTCAACCTAGGGGTGAAGGAGCTACTCAGACTGTCCCTTTAAGCCAGCCCCATGTGGCTGGGTCCCAGCCTCACCCCCAGCATCTACCCTGCATTTCAAGGGGGCTTACCTGATTTTGAGGGCTCTGCTCTAGGCCAGGAGGCGGGGCCGGCCTTGCAGAGCCTTAAGGCACAAGAGGTCAGGTGACCTGCCCACAGTGCCATGGTCAGGAATCAGGCTTGCAGCTAGGGCTTCATTCCTGGACCATGGGTCATTTTCCCATACCTCTCTCAGGAAGGCGAGCCTGCAAATTCTAATAATGACTCTTCCCTTAAGGGAACATACAATAAAACAGCCATTAAATCCCGTTTAATATCCATTGGATTGGCCAAGTTGAACTTTGGGAATCCTCACTTGTGGCCTGGGTATCTGGAAACCAGGCCTTGGTGACAGGCTCACACACCGACACATTCTCATTTGGAGAGTGTTTGTGCCCTTCAACACAACAGTCAGCCACTGGGAATTCAGCTGTGTTTGAGAAGTTCATCGGTTCAGTGAGCGATGCTGCGTCCGTGTTGCTAGGGTTTGTGCTGCCAGCGAAAAGCAAAACGTAGGACTGCATGTGTCCCACGTGGGAAGAGCACAAAAATATTCACTGGATAAAAGCAAAATTCTACAGAAGGAAACAGGGAATATGTCGTCCAGCTTGTGGCTGTGCCTTTTTTTTTTAAATTGGAATGTCAGATAAACAGAGAGGACAGTCAGAAAGGAAAATCCAGCTGAATATTTATTCCCCCAGTGACCGCAACGACCAGAGCTGAGCTGATCCAAAGCCAGGAGCCTCCTCTGGGTCTCCCAGGCAGGCGCAGGGTCCTAAGGCTTTGGGCCGTCCTCGACTGCTTTCCCAAACCACAAGCAGGGAGCTGGATGGGAAATGGGGCTGCCCATGGCTGTTTTTAAAAAGACCCTGGGACCTAGCGCAGTAACCTAGTGGCTGAAGTCCTTGCCTTGCATGCGCTGGGATCCCATATGGGTGTAAGTTCTAATCCCGGCAGAGTGAATCATCGGATGGAAGATCTTCCTCTCTGTCTCTCCTCCTCTCTGTATATCTGACTTTCCAATTAAAAAAAAAAAAAAAAAAAAACACCTCAATTGAAGGAAAAGCACCCTGGAGTGTCTTTAAACAGCTAAACAGCCTTGCTGCTTACACTGCTCAGCTACTGGCCTGTGCAGGCATTGTCTCCAGAATTCTAAGGCTATTGTGGGGACGTCACGGTCTAAGCAGAGAGCCTGGAGATTTATAAGGTGCTTTTTCTTAGAATACCTGGGCAACTGTTTAGTTCTTTCTGGCTTTGGAAGCAGAGCCAGGAATTGACAGTGAGTCTCTTCCTGTGGTCCTGCTGGTGTTTTACGCCTGCTCCAAACTTTGAAGTCAGTCACTTGATTTGCCCTCTGGCAGGAACGTGACCCAGAGGCCCCTGCGGTTGCCCTGTGGCGGCTCTGCCAGCTGTTCCGTCAGGCGTCCTCACTGATGACGATGTTAGCCACTGGACAGATCCTTGGCCTACGGTTCGCCCGGCAGGATTTGCCGGTTGACCCGTCACTCTGGGAGACTCCGCAGCAGAGTTGTGTCGCTGGTGTGGAAGGGAAGGATGAGGGTAGTACAAGGCTGACCAAAACATGCAGCGTTTCCCCGAGAAGGGCAGGGTGTTATGTTGGCTTCTGTCTGCTGAGTGTCTGCTTGCTTCATAGTTCGGGGCTCCACTGGAAGAAGACTGTCGGGGCTAAATAATCCATTCTTTGGTTCGTTTCAGAAACATGCGTGTTTGCATTTCTTGGCCTGTCCATTTTTAGTTTCCCTCACAAGTTTGAAATTTCCTTTGTCATCTGGTGCATAGTAAGTATTTACCTTGTTTTTTATCTGTTCACTTATTTGTAGATCAATAATCATATGTTCTTGATTCATTTATGCAACTGTTAATTGTCCCAAGTTAACAAACAGCTGTATAGAGGACACCCTTATGTTGAATGTTTCTTTTTAAATAAAAGTCACAAATAGAAAGGGAGAAAGGTAATTTTCCTATCTGTAGATGTTATGACCTTCTTTCAGAAGTACATGTTTTTGTGTGTTTGTGGTCTGTGGTAAATGCAGACTTCAAAATTGAGTATTCAATTGTCCATGACCATGTAAAAGTATCAATGTACAGGAAAAGGAAAATGTATAAAGAACAAAATTGCCAACTGTTTGCAATTAAATGTATTACTGCAGAATCACCTCCCTTTGGGACATCGAGGGAGGCGACATGCAGCCCCTCAGGGCTCCTCTTGGCTCCTCCTCCTGTACCGGGAGGTTCCTGCTGGCACCTGCTCCTCTCCCTCATGGATCCCTTGTCATTTTAGCTCCTTTGTTCCTTTAAGTCACTTCCGAGGCACAGCTCCCTCCTCTCTCGGGTCCTAATTTGTCTCCTGGAGTTTTTATTGCTGGCACTGACCCCTGAGCCGGCACAGTTTGGGGAAGCCAGCAACCAAGACTGGGGAGGAAGCTCTCCCAGCGGCCAGGATGGACTGACATCTGTCACAGCAAGGTAGAGGAGGCCCAGCCCTGGGAGTGGCAGGTTAGATGTCCATGGCTGGCAGGGAGGTGGGGGTGCCCTGCACGAGCACCTGAGCAGGCCGGCCTGCCATGGCAGCAGCTAATCAGGACAGATGTCACAGGCAACCCCTCCAGGTGCAGTCTGGCTTTGGATTTTGAACCAGGTTGAAAGACAGATCTGCCACTTCCTTCCTAATTCATTGAAATTTTTATGCTTCAGTTTCCTTGATCGTAACATAGAGCCCGAAACATAGCACCTACTTTGTCAGATCGTTTTTGGAATGTAAATGTATCGAGACTGAACCTGTGAGATGCTTAGCCAAGATGAAGATGAAAGTAAATGAGCAAACGGGCCCGAGAAGCCACCAGGGCTCCATTTAAACCACATACTGTGGTGGTTGTTAGGACTTGCCACACCCTTGCAGACAGCTGGCAACCAGAAACCATGGCAGATACCAGCCAGGCCCGGCAGTTGAGCTCCTTGTGGAGCGGCCTGGGCGCTCCCTTCAGGTGGGGCGTTACTGGGCCCAGCCTCCCCTCCTATCGACAGGGGGGCCACCTGAAATCAGTCTCTGGGTGTTTGGGCATGGCCTCTTGGCATTTGTCGATGTTCTCCATCTTGTCCTAAGCCCTCATTGATACCTCATTAGTCCTCTTTTCCAACTGCTTAAGTGTGAGGTACAAAGGTTTGTCCCCACACAAGGACTCTGGTCGGCCATGGGTCAGGATAGTGCTGTAAGGACACTGGGTGTGGCATGTGGGCTGCTCCAGCTCTAGCTGTCACTCCCAGACGTTTTGGTCTGAGATCAAATCTGTTGCCCTTCACAGGTGCTTGTGCTGTTCGGCAGAGCTGTGAACATCTTCCCACTTTCCTATCTCCTGAATTTCTTCCGTGATCACAAAATCACCCCAAAGATGATGTTCATCATGTGGTTCAGTGGTAAGCCGACTCATGAATGTCTAGGCAGAGGGCCGGTCCTGGAGAAGGATCCTAGAGAAAGGATCCCCAATACAGAGAGAGCATGCGGTCTTCTCCACTGTCCTGAACGCCTGCCCTGCGGTGGGCAATGCCCCGCTGGCTGTGAGCTGGGTGGGGCCGGGTCCCCAGGCGGTCTGGCCTCTGCCCTCCCCCTGCTTGGCTCATCCCAGCCCTTCCCTGTGCACCGCCCCTCCCGCGCCCCCAGGCCTGCGGGGAGCCATCCCCTATGCCTTGAGCCTGCACCTGGACTTGGAGCCCATGGAGAAGCGGCAGCTCATCGGCACAACCACCATCATCATTGTGCTCTTCACCATCCTGCTGCTGGGTGGCAGCACCATGCCCCTCATCCGCCTGATGGACATCGAGGACGCCAAGGCGCGCCGCAGGAGCAAGAAGGACGTGAACCTCAGCAAGACGGAGAAGATGGTCAGTGCCCTGGGGCAGAGCTGCTGCCCGCCACGGCCGGCAGCGGACACATGGCACTGGGGTTTTTCTTGCACAGACCTATGCTTGTGCCTGTTTGAAAAGTAGAGCAACAGAGAGCTCTTCCATCCACTGGTTCACTCCCCAACTGCTCACAACAGCCAGGGCTGGGCTAGGCTGAAGCCAGGAGCCAGGAGCCAGGAAATCCTTCCGGGTCATCTGCATGGGTGCAAGGGCCCAAGTAGGTATTTTTTGTTTTTTAAGATTCTGGAGAGAGAAGGAGAGAAGAAAGAAAGATCTTCTATCTGATGGTTCACTCCCCAAATGACCACAGTGGCCGGAGCTGAGCCGATCCAAAGCTGAGAGCCAGGAGCGAGTACAGGGATGGCCTAAGGCTTTGAGCCATCCCCCACTGCTGCTTTCCCAGGCCATACGCAGAGAGCTGGGTCAGAAGTAGAGCAGCCATGACACGAACTGGTGCCCACACAGGATGTTGGCACTTACAGGTAGAGGATTAGCCTGTTGAGCCACCATGTCAGCCCCAACTTGGGCCATTCCCTGCTGCTTTCCCAGACATTACCAGGAGCTGGATCAGAAGTGGAGCCTCCAGACCACCCAGTACCTGGGGTCTTCCCTTCACCCCTCTCCAGTGCCAGCTGGGATTTGTTCCCGCCTATACTGCTTGACTGTCAAACTCCTGCCCACAATGGAACAATAGCTTCTGTTGCAAAATACAACAAAAGGAGCTGCCATGGTTCAGTTTGTTGGCAACAAGATAACAGAGTGGCAGTTCCCAGTCATGGCTGCACATCAGGGTCACGTGATGAACTTGGACACCGAGCCCAGCCTGGGCCCGAGGCAGTATCACTAGGCAGGCTCTCGCCACACCCACCCTGCTCTCACGACCTTCCCAGGGGCTCCTTGGTGCTCCAGTGGCATGCACTGGTTGTCCAGTGCAGTTAAGGTTGGGGCCACTGGCTGCCAGGTATGCCTGGGTGCTATGGGCACTTAGGGGAGCTGCCAGTGCCAGCTGACAAAATCCTGGCCCTTCCCCCCATGCCAGGGCAACACCATCGAGTCGGAGCACTTGTCAGAGCTCACCGAGGAGGAGTATGAAGCCCACTACATCAAGCGGCAGGACCTCAAAGGCTTCATGTGGCTGGATGCCAAGTACCTGAACCCCTTCTTCACACGGAGGCTGACACAGGAGGTAGGATGGGGCTGGTACCCACAGCAGCCAAGAGGGCAGAGTGGGGAAGCTTGTGTGGGTATACCTTGGAGTCCCGCCTCTGCTTGGCCTGGCCTGTGCTGCTGTAGTAGCGGGAGCCGTGCTGCAGTGTGCTGTTCCGGGTGATACACTTGGGACCCATCAGCTGCTGAGACTGGGTAGAGCTGCAGCTGCACCATGCAGTTTCCCGACCACGCCTCTCTCGTGCCCTTCCTCCGAACACCAGTACTGCCCTGTAGCCACATGCCTGGGCCCCAGATGATCACAGTAGCAGTCAGTATGCATGATCCAGCAAGATGTCAGGCACTGCACACAGGAGCTGCCCTTATCTTCAGCAGCGGAAGCAGTGGCTGCAGTGGGCACCTCCCTGGGTAGACTGAGGCCCAGGTAGCGAAGGAGTCCTCCAGGTCACACAGGTGGGAGTGGCAGCTGGGAGCAGAGACTGTGGTTCCAACATGTGCTACTTCCAATGGCACCTGTGCTTATCTGCACCCCACAAAAACTACACCCTACCCGGCCATAGTCTTCACACTGCAATTGCCTGTGGCCCTTCACCTTGCCATCCTCCCCCCCCACACACACACACACGGTGCTGCCAGCAACATCCGCCTTGACCCTGCCCACTAAGCAAAGCTTGCTTGTGTCTCCCGCCCCAGGACCTCCACCATGGGCGCATCCAGATGAAAACACTCACCAACAAGTGGTACGAGGAGGTGCGCCAGGGCCCCTCGGGCTCCGAGGATGACGAGCAGGAGCTGCTGTGACGGTGCCAAGGCTGCCCGTGGTACCCACAGTGCCTTCAGAGGCGCATGCACCAGGCACCCTCTGAGGAGATGAGATGGCAAGTGACGTCAGGGCCCTGGAGCCTTCTGAACTTGGACCTTTCTAGGCTTTTGGAGCCAAACAACCTCTTTGGAAACGTGCATCTTCTGCCCAGGGAGCCAGGCAGAGTGGCTGCCCATGGTGTGGAAGCCAGGGAAGCAGCTGCCGGCCTGAGAGAGGAGCAGCCTGCTGGGGAGCCTGTTGAGAGCCGTGGCCCAGGATGGATGTCGAGGCAAGGCAGGCCTGGCTGAGGTCAGCCGCAGCTGCAGGCCCTTGTCCTGGAGTGAGGGGCAGCTGCTATTGCCTGGAGTCTTACCGGAGCCTGGGCCTCAGTGGGAGGGCCCAGGAAGGCCTCCTTCTGCCCTCTGGGGGAGCCATCCTGTACCCCGCATGCAACCGTGAAGTCCTTCAGGGGAAGGCCAGCCTGTTCTGTAAGGTCTGAGTGCCTGAGAGAGAGAGAGAAACGAGAGGGCATGGACTAAGCCGGCAGCCAGGGCTGTCCTGATATGGTTGGAATTCAAGCATTTTATGAAGCAGGGAGAGCCTGCTCCTCGCTAGTCCCCTTCCTGCATGGTCCTGCCCGTTCCACTAGACCCCTTTCCTGCTCCAGGTTCCCTGCAGTCTTGTTCCGTTGGTCCCTGTGCTGGGACCCTGGGGGTCAGGCACGTGTGCTCTTGTGTGTGTACATACACACCTGTATATACACACAGCCCCCTGCCAGTCGTGTGCTAGTGAAGTGAGGGCCGCCTACATCCTCCTGTGCCGTTCCCCGGGCCTCTGACCTTGCCTGCCTGGGCCACTGGAGCCTTGGGACCTGCAGGACCAGGCCATGCTCTCTCCTGTCTGTCCCGCCTCCAGCCGTGGGGCTCTGGGTGTCAGGAATGGCTCAGCTCAGGACTGGCCTGAGGGCTTAGGCTCCGCCTCCTACACACCCCCAGTTAACCAGAAGTAAACTTGGACTTGAGAGGTTTGCTTTCATGTCCCCCTGACCCCTCCATGACTCCATCACTGGATTCCTCAGAAGAAAGAAGGCCAGGGCCAGACTTCCTCTGAACCTCGGGCTGGGGGCAGGCTCTGGAGCAGCCTTGCGAAGCCCCGTGGCTTGCACGATTTCTTCCTGTTTCTAAACCTTCAGTTCACAGCCGAAATGCTGAGAACTTTCTCATTCAGGCCACCCGTCACACGGCACTGCAGCAGCACACCTGCCTCCTGCTGCTAGCTGAAGCGAGAGCTTGTGAAGGGCTTGGGGACCCTGCCCAGGAGGTACCCACACCCGCAGGATCTGCCATGAGCCGGCCCTGCTCCCTGTTGGCCGAGCATGGGCCCAGCCCCTGGTCACTGCCCTGTCCCTGGCAGCTCGTTGCCAGCAAGGACATGGAGGGACCCGTTTAGCTCATGCGTTGTTTCAGTTGTCTTCACCTGAGAATCTAAAATTACCGCTTTCTAGTCTCCAGCGCACTCTGTCCTCCCGTGTGGAGGCAGGAAGGCGCCCGTTTCACCATCTCTTCTGGCCTTGGTTTTCTTTCAGGTCTAGACTATGGCCAGGAGCCCCACACTGAGATCAGACCTGGCAAGGTGAACTTGGTGCCTTTGGGATGCTGGTTCTGAGCCAGGAACCGTGATGTGCCACACAGGCGTGTGAGCTGGACACCCTTCCTAGGCTAATTCAGCCCCCCCCCCCCCATGGTCGAAGGAGCCCTTGGAGCAAGGGTTATGTTGGGCAGGAAAGGAGCCGGCTTTTCCGGCTGCCCAGGCCCAAATGGCTCAGCCCAACATCTGGCACTCCGATCCTCAGGGGCAGAACCACAGCTTCCCGCTGCCCGTGTTAAGCCCTCTGCTCTCGTGGGCAAGGCTGCAGGGTGGCCGCAGGTTCAGGTGCCCTGCTCCCTGGCTGCTGTGTCTGGAGGAATCAGGCCATCCTCTGCCGCTCGGGGGTGGGGAGGGAGTTTAGGAGCAGAGATGAAGTGAAGCCTCCTGCCCCCAGCCCACATTCCCCTGAAGTACCGGCTGTGTCTCCCCCACTGCTGAGAGGCTGGAAACTGACTGGGAGCTTCCCCAAAGCAGCCGAGTGTGTAAGAGGCTGTTGTTGTGGGAAGCCTGGCTGCAAGCCGGCAGCAGGGCGTGTGTGCACTGAGCACAGCCTGGGCTGCGCAGGTAGCTGCTGAGGGACACCAGCGGGCCTCGACAGCCCAGCCCTCATCCTCTCCCTCTCTGGCCAGCCCCACAGGAGGATACCCTGGCCTCCGACCAGAGGAGCTGGGCTCCTGGCTGTGCGTTAGTCGCACTGACCTGTGGATAAGGGCTGTGCCTCATGGCTGCACAGGGACCTACACGCTGAGCAAAAGGAGAATGACACCTGTCTGTCCCACGGGTCCCACGTGCTGGCCATGGCTCATGGCGAGGGCTTCCCCGTTTGGTTGGACTCGCATATCGTTTCTCATCGTGTTGCCAGCAAGGGGGGCCGTGTAAAGGGCTGGCTGCTTGTGAGGACCACCAAGGGGACAGGCAGGTTGTGTGGAGCCCCCAGCGAGCTGAGAAGTGGCTTGCCACTGTTCAGGGTGGGGTCCGGGTGCCCCACAAAGACCCCCTCGCTTCATCTCCCCAGCCTCTACGGGACTCACAGCTGGGCAGAGAACAGCCGCGCCACTCAGTTCTCACAGAGAAATAAACACAAAAGCTGCTGACTCTGTGCTGGCTCCTGTGTCACGTTCACATGGGTTCTGTCACAGCACAGGCCAGGCACTCCTGAGTCCCAACCCCCCCAGCCTTGCACACAGCACCCTAAGCACAGTGCTTAGGGTGTGGACTTTGGGTCAGGCACTCCTGGGTCTGGCTCCTGCCTTTGGTTCTCTGTGAGGAGCAGATGAGGCCATGGGCTGGGCTCAGCACCAGCACTGTCAGGAGCTCTTCCCTTCAGGCATAGGAGCCCATCTCTCACTGGTTCTGTTCTCCCAGCTGAGCCATGGCAGGGCTGCAGCTACTGCTGACACAGGAAGCTCATCCCGTTAACCTGCCCCCAACACACACCGGGAGGCTGTGCGTGGTGACAGCACCAACAGAGTGCACATGTCACAGGCAGTCAGGCAGGGGAGACTGGCTCTAGTTCCTTCTAACCCTGTGACTCAGCTCAACCCTGCCACCAGCTGGGAAGGAAGGAGGCAAGGGCACTGCAGCTGGACCAGGGCTGGCGCCATGCCAGCAGCCACAGGCAGAGCCAACTGGAAAGGCTATACATCGCCCACTTCCAACAGGGGCCTGCAGCTATAGAAAATGCTGCTCTCTCAGGAGGAGGCCCACAGGGGGATAGGGAGTGGTAACAGGCACGTGACTGCAGGGCAGGGGGAACCCCAGGTGGGCTGAGTGCCCAGCAGGCCTTGGGTACCCACCAGGGTACTGGATGTTTTTCACAATTTCAGCCTCAGCTCTGGTGTGGAGGGGAGCATCGGAGCATCTGCCAGAAGTGTTCTTAGAGGCCAGCAAGCTGGGGGTCAGGGAAGTGAGGGTCACACTCCCAAGCTGGGGGCCACCGGGTCCCCACCCAGGCCACAGGGGAGCTAAGGGGAGGTGGGCACAGGAGACAGCTCACTCCTTTCTGCTCTAGCCCAGAGAAGGCTGGGTGGGCAGGAAGGGCAGTGGGTATCACAGGCCAGGGACATGATCTGGGACCAACGACAGGAAGTGCCCTGCAAGCATTTTCAGATACTTGTGGCCCCACCAGGGAGCAGGTAGGCATCACATGCACTCTGTCCAGGGGGGACCAGGTTTGGGGAACCAGGGCCTAGGACCCCTTGCCACAGCCAGGCAACTGCTGGCCAGGGACTGATGCAGCCAGGGAGGGGACAGACTCAGGTGTGGCTTGTTCATTCTGTGCCAAGGATGAACCAGGTGCACCTGTCTGCCAGCAGGAGGGTCCACTGGCTCAGACCTTCGGAAGCCACTGTGTTGAGTTTATCAAAACCCCAGAAATGCCTGCAGCAGGTGCACATTGCCCGAGACAGTGCCCACCAATGTGGTTCCAGGCAGCCACCCTGGAATGTCTGTGTGGCACACTGCAGGGGCCTGCCGAACTGTATGATGACACTGAGTTCTGAGGCTGTGGGATGCTACAGGTCAGTAGCTGTCAATGTCAGCAAGACAGTCACCCTTCACCCTCTCGGTGTGACTGCCAATGAGAGAGCTTAGCACCTGCTTTTAACACACAAACCTCCCCACCGGAACACAGGAACTTCAGCTAACCCGTGAGCCAATGCCTCAGCCCCACGGCTTCTGTGGATCCGGCATCCCGAGTATGTGCTCACACTGGCCATGACATGCTTCTGGGGATGGCCCATTCCCTTGCTAGTGGTTCACTGGACTTCCCCAAGGCCACCTGAGATGGGCCTGTGACCTGTTCTGGCAGGAGAATGAGGCAATACCTTGGGAAATTTCTAGAATTGTCTCTTGCTGTCAGAGGCACTTGGGCGGGAAGGCTTCCCCAATGGCCCCTAGCTTTGGCCTCCCACTCCTGCCTGAACTGCTGCAGCTGTTCTGAGCCCCAGGACTCAGGGTGACACCACAGGACCAGTGAGAGCAGCAATACGGGCACTGACCTCCTGTGTGGTCCTGAGTAGGAGAGCAGGAAGAGGCTCCTGGCTTCTGATCGGCTTACCTTCGGCTGCTGTGGCCACTTGGGGAGTGAATCATCAGACGGAAGATCTTTCTCTGTATATCTGACTTTCCAATAAAAATTAAATCTTTAAAAAAAAAAAAAAAAGCTTATAAGACATCTCCCAACATTATTTAATGCCTCTCCTCCCCCACCAACAGTCTCTGGATCAGCATTGGCTCCACCTGTGTGTGCCTTGGTTTTGCTATTTTGGAGATTGGCTTCCCAACTGGTCTTCCAGGAAGAGACTCACTCTAAGCGCTCCAGCCCCTGGTTGGGTCTGGAACCTGCTATTCAGGCTCACGGCAACACCTAGATGCTACCTGCAGCCAGCTCTGACTCCTTGCCTTAGCAAGATTACTTGAGAAAAAAAAAAAAAAAAAAAAAAAACCAAGCAACCAAACCTCAAAGAAGCAGAGACAGGAGACACAAAACTCAAACACGGCATTTAACAATGGAAGACACTTTTATTATTATTTTTGCAATCACCTCTGAACATTTCAACTCTTGGTAGAAATCAAAGGCAAAACATGAGCATACAGTTAACTGTTTCAGTCGCAACAGCCTCGTACAGTAGGTACACAGCAAGGGGGGCAGGTCCCCCACCTCCCTCCAGTCTAGGACCACAGAGGAGTCTGTCCTGTGATGGACTCTTTCCTCCTTGGACAAGTTGCTGGTTCAGGTTTCCATCCACTGCGTGTTCCGTGGCATCACGGTTAGTTGGTTAGTTGAAAGTCTCAGTCGCTATAATGCTGGAGCAATCTAGAAATGGGAAACTAGAAAACCAGAGCTCCCAAGGAAGCCCAGCAAGGAAGGGCCGGGCCAGGTCTGTCTAGGTGGTAACTGAGCCGGCTGGAATTTGGCTGTATGTACACAGTAGGTATCCACAGGCATCTGCCAGATAGATAGAAAAGAGCCAGAGAAGAATTGGAAAACTTTAAGATCATTCATAGAGCTGGAAGAACATCAGCAAATTCACAGTGGCCACAGGATTCAGCTGAGTTTAAAGTTTCTCAAGAGCTAAATGCCTCTTTGTACTGGAAAAGTCCACTGTGTGGAGCCCCGCACACCCTCGTCACAGTCACACATGGCCGACGGGCGTCTCCAGGCCCTGGCAATGACACTCGCCTGCTCTGCACTGCTGCGGGGTACTCCTGGGGTCAGCAGGT